CTATTGAAATCATGAACCATAGGTCCATTGGCCTCCCAAATAGGATTTGCCCACTCTAGTGCTTTGTCGGTAAGTTGATGCATCAAAAACCCCACTTTAGACCTATTAGTGGGAAAGGAATGAGGATACATCTCAAGGTGGAATTCTATTTGATTAATAAAACCTCTGCATGTCTTGGCTTCCCCTCCATACCTAGGAGGAGGTGTTAAATGGGGCGAAGCATTGGTTGAATTGGATACTTCGGGAGGATGAGGTGTAGGAGGGTTAGGTGCGGTTGCAGGAATGGTTCTAGACAAGAGCGTCTGGAGAGCCTGTGCTATCTGATCCATACGGTGATCCTGCTCTACAAACCTTGCCTCGTGAGAAGCCATTTGCTGAGCCAAATCTGCGGGGTCCATGGCCCTATCGTAATGTAACGAGAATATACCCCAACACGCAGGATTCAGCTAAACAAAAGACAACACAGAGGAGAGATACGTCTACCGGACCTTAGAATGGCCGGACTCGACGTATATGAGAGGAGACAGAGTCAGGAACGATCCGAAATCAAGGGCACAGAGAGACAGCGTAAACTAGGACAAGCCGGGGTCTGGTACACAGTAAACAGCAAGCCGACAACCAGAACAGAAGGATAAAGAGAAAACGTAGTCAGAAACAAAGCCAAGGTCAATACGGAGAAACACAACTGAACACAACAAGCGCTAAAGGGAACTGATACAGAAACCACGATAGGGCAAGGAACAAAGGGAAGAAGGTGAGTATAAATACCTAAACATCTAATTTGATTGGTCCCTGTCACATCCACGCCCCCAAAAGGTAAGTGTATGGGGAGTGTGGCATGACAGGGACCAATGGGATGCCTTTTCCAATTTAGGCACCCACTGTCCCTTTAAGAGCGCGCCCGATACCCGCGGCGCGCTCTTAGAGTTAGGTGGAACACGTGACCGCTTTCCAGTCACAGCGGTCGGCTGAGCCGCGCGCGGCTCGTGCAGCAGCAGGACCGCGCGCGGCTCGAACAGAGGACCCCGGCCGGCCCCTGGAAAGGGTAAGTACCGCTACAGGGTGACAGACTGCATCCCTGTCGGGAGCCGTTAGTGATGGTGAAGGGGTCCGAGACAAATCCTGCGTTCACTACTTGTGCTGATGGTGCGTTGTATAGGGCCCTGATAGCTGAGAGGAAGCTCTCCGACACCCCAACCTTAACGAGGACCTGCTCCAGGAACTCCCATCCCAGGCGGTCAAAGGCCTTCTCCGCGTCTACTGAAACCATCACACTTCCTATTTTCATGCGTTGGGCACTGTATAGTATATCAAGGACTTTCCTGGTGTTATCACCTCCTTGTCTATTTTTTATGAACCCTACCTGATCAGTGTGTATAATGTGTGGTAACAGGTTTCCGAGACGTGTTGCATATATTTTGGCATACAGTTTGGCGTCTGTATTTAATAGATATATGGGGCGGATGTTTTGTGGGCATTTAGGTGGTTTTCCCGGTTTTGGGAGCGTGATGATGTGGGCCAGTAAAGTTTCGGTTGGTAGGCGTTGGAGGGAGGTGGCTTCATTGAAAGCTTTCGTTTGTGTGAGGATGGTTTTTAATTTTTTATAGTAGCAGTTGGCGAAGCCGTCTGGGCCTGGTGATTTTCCCAGCGGCAGATTTTGAATGGCCGTGGTCACCTCGTCTTGGGTGATTTTGGCGTCTAGTGTTTGTTGTTGTAATAGTGTAAGCGTGGGCATTGGGATCTTGATTAAGTGAGTTTCTGACATTAAAGAAGCTGTTCTTCTCGCTTCTTTCTTGCTGGCATCTGCCCTTCTGTTGGGACATTGTGTGGAGGTTTCTTTTCTTTCATTTCGTTTGGGAGCTTGTTTCGCTAAGATTTAGGCCCGGGTAGCACGGAGCTATTCCGACATGCGACCGCTGCGGTTGAGCTCCAGGCCACGTCCCCAACACAAAGCTTTTTGATCTTGTCTAAAATTGTATTAGTTACACATTGTTGAATGTCAAGTCACATGTCTTTACATTGAGAAGTATGGTAGGGCTAGTTACCAGAATGGGCATGTAGCCATTATATGATCAAAAATGTCAGTCTGGAGTGCAGACAGAAAATGTGATCAGAACGCTAGTTTGTCAAACAAGCACAATAACCACTACAGCACACTGAAGTGGTTAAGGTGGTAAAATACCTGGTGTCATCCCATAGTAAGAAATCAAAACAATTTAATAAAGTAGGTCAAACTTGTCTTGGTCCTGTTGCACACCCACAGCCGCATTCCCAGATACCTTTGTTAGTATTGAAAACAAAAGGAGTAAGTCATGATCATAATCTAGGCTAAGAAGTGGGAGGCTAGGAGAAAACAAAACATGTTGCTATCCTCATGTGATTAAGATGTCCAGTATATTTTTATCAAATACTCTATCCTGGAAAATATTCAATTAACCATTATAGTCACAGAATGTTAAAGGACCACTATAGGCACCCACACCACTTCAGCTCAATGAAATGGTCTGGGTGTCAGGTCCATCTAGGGTTAACACTGCAGCTGTAAACATAGCAGTTTCAGAGAATACAATAGGGTTAATCCAGCCTCTAGTGGCTGTCTCATTGACAGCCGCTAGAGGTGCTTCCCACTGTGAAAATCACAGTGAGAAGACACTGACGTCCATAGGAAAGCATTGATAAATGCTTTCCTATGGACTGATTGAATGCGCGCATTCGGCGGATAATGTCGCAAGAGGGAGGAGAGTTCTTCAGCGCTGAGGGAGCCCGGCGCTGGAGAAAGGTAAGCATTTAACCCCTTCCTCCCCCTAGAGCCCAGCAGGAGAGGGCCATGAGGGTGGCCCTATAGTGCCAGGAAAACAAGTTTTTTTTTTCTAGCACTATAGTGGTCAATTAGGCTTTTCAACTGAGACATTCCGAATTTATATACAAATGTGGTTTCTGTATTGTGCTACTTGGTCTGAAAAAGGTCTGTGAGTTGTTCAGTCCTTAATAGAGCATTCTGCATTCAACTTTGAAGAGATGGTCAGATACATGTTCCAAGGAATCAAGACCCTTGGCTATTTAAAGAGAAACTAAGGAGGGAGCAAATTACCAACCACTATAATAGACAACAAGGACAATAAGAGGATGGAAATTCTAGTGACAAATTGGTGTGCATGGTTAATGGAAACATGCAAAATAAGACTTGGGGCAGGGAGTAATTACACATACTTAAATATTACCCATTTAAATGGAAAGGTAGTTCTATATACAAAGAAACAAACGGTAGAATATGCATTTAAAGGAGAACCAAGGAGGGAAACTGTACAGACCAGTTCTGGCTAGATGGATTGAATAGAGAGCGAGACCTCCTGCTTGGATAGCAAGCCAAAGATGAATAGGGCTAGCAACCCTTACATGTTTTCAATACAAACCATGTCTTTTACAAGTGCAGGCTTGCCTTTGTAGGGGGAGGGAGCAAATAAAACCCAAGGGAGTATGTTTATGCTCAGAAAGGATTATGAATCATACATAAGAGTACGTGACTATATAATTCACTCATGATTCATATCAGCAACATGGAGTCATACATTGGAAGAAGTATGAGCTCTAATACATACAGAAAAGATCATCTAACCTATACATTAGTTTAGGACAGAGAGCGTTTTCTTTTAATAGCTTATATGTACACAACAAAACATATGAATAAAATATTAAAGGGAAACTATAGTGCCAGGAAAACAAACTTGTTTTCCTGGCACTGTATCTTCCCCTTCTCTCAAGGCCCCTTTTCCGCGGCGCTGAAGAGGTTAATAACCCCTTCAGTCACTTACCTGGGTCCAGCGCCGATGGCTGCGTACGCGCATTAGACCTCCCCATTGGAAAGCATTATTCAATGCTTTCCTACGGGGATTCTGGCGATGCTCGACGATCTGATGCAGAGCGTGGGGACGTCGAACGTCCTTTAAAACACTTTTGGTGCTGTAAGAAAACAGAAGCATTATCTAGCGGCTGTCTGAGAGACAGCAACTAGAGTTGGGATTAGCCCTGTAATCAAAACACAGCGGTTTCTCCAAAACCCACGGTGTTATCACTAACAGGGCTAAGGGGAGAGGGGCAACTTACCCAGACCACTCCAATGGGCAGAAGTGGTCTGGGTGCCTACAGTGACCCTTTAATTATGGGGGGGGGGAGAGATCACATTTTCGCTTTCAATTATTTTTACACATCAAGCACAACTAAAGAAAAATAACTTGGAGCATCTCTTAAAAAGGCAACATTAATTTTAATGTACTTTTTCAGTGCGTTGTTATTTAAAACTCTGTTTGAGCAAAGTCCTCATCTACCTAGTGTTCCTGTAACATTTTGCAATTGTCTCATTTACTGTAAAATGTTCCCCTTTTATTATATTGTAAAGAGCTGCAGGAAGAGTTGGCCCTATATAAATGCCAGTAATAATAATAATAAAATATACTATATATATATAATGGATATAGAACAATAAGGGTAGTTTTCTTTGTAACGCCTCGATTTACCAGAAGAAATATGGATCTGCATTAATGTCATAAGATCATTTTCCAGTTTTTCAATTATCATATAATTTGATTCCACCCACAAATTGTAATTTAGCCAAAAGAGGACAGGACCATGGTTTCCTGCCGCCATCTCACAAGTTCGATGTAGACAGATGTGAATTTTTTTTAATTTTTTTTTTTATTATTGGGAATGATTTCAGCGATCTATAAACACCAGAGACAGCGTTCCATTATAACAGTGTTATATTTCCCAACGTCACTAATGCTCAGCACAAGGCGACCATTTTCTCGGAGACCTAAATCAATGGAATCTTTGCGAATAGGTTTCCACAAAAAAAAAGCTCATCTAACGACAGAGATTGAAAAAAAAAAAAAAAAAAAAGGCGTTAAGGTCTCTGTGTGTTTAGCGCTCTGTGACTGCACGGTGGTTGACCCAGTACAGAGCGTTCACTCCGACAACCAATCAAATCCATTGTAGAAAACGCACGAGGAAGCGTTTACTTGGCGCTTGGACCCGCCTCTCGCCCAATCAGCGCGCTCTGCGGTGGGCGCGACGGTGACGTCAGCCGTTTCATGGTATCGTCGGCACGCAGCTGGTGTCGTGTGTCTGTGGTCAGTAGCGGAGCGGACGATGCAGGATTCGGCTGTTCTTTAATAATCCGGCAGATTTTGACCCAGCCTGACTGTAAGTTCTGGGTTTTAATCGAGTATAACAGGTTGGCTGGGTTTTATTTATTTTTTTGTGTGTGGCGCATTAGAAGCATGCGGTCCCTTTAATTGTCTCTGGGATGTCCATGGCGGTCCGTTAGCTGGTGCCAGGCTGGCTGTGACAACTCCATGAGTAGCACTGAGCTGCCCGAGCTTGTATTTAAACATGTGTTATCATAGGGTGACAGTGCTGGCTCTGGGATCGGCATGCTGATACTAGCCACAGTGACCCCCGGCTAGCCATGGCGGTGACCCCCGGCTAGCCATGGCGGTGACCCCCGGCTAGCCATGGCGGTGACCCCCGGCTGTAGCCATGGTGACCCCCCGGCTAGCCATGGCGGTGACCCCCGGCTAGCCATGGCGGTGACCCCCGGCTAGCCATGGCGGTGACCCCCCCCCCGGCTAGCCATGGCGGTGACCCTGGCCTTACCGGATAGCTTGGGCAAAAGACTCATCCAGCTAGCCTCTTGTTACCTGGTAATACATTCATTATGTCCCCTTTTAACCTGGCACTAGGCTTATTTTTCTTACCTTTTTAAAATGTCCTTTGGCTTTTAACCAGCTGCTAGGCTATCATGCTGACCTTTTTAAATTGATACTACCATCCTCATGCTTGCCTTTATCGCCTGGCACTAGTTAAGCTGACCCATAAACTTGATAAGTTTGATTATGATGGTCCTCTAACATAGTAGCAACTGATAGGCATGAGATCTGCCCAAAAAGGAGGGCGGAAGGTGTGTGTGTGTGTGTATGTATGTGTGTGTGTATATATATATATATATATATATATATATATATATATATATATATATATATATATATATATATATATAGTATTTTTAGTTAAAAAGCATCTCCAAATGTTTTTAGTAATATGTAAACGTGGATATCTCATGGTAAATGTATAACATTTCTGCTTTACGTGCTCTTGAAAGTGTTCGTGAGTAGTCATTGTCATGTGTCCTTCCTGCTAAAACAGTTAATAAATACATATGTCTACAAGTACTAAGTTCACATCCTGCATTTAAGAAGTATTGCGAAATGTGAAGCAGTGCTAGCTCAGCAATAACCGCCTCAAATTATTAATAATTAGTATGACCCCACCTTTTTCAGGTCTTAACTCAAAATGGCAGAATTTGTGAGCTTTTATTTAAGGATGTTCCTAAAAGGTGAATTTTTCAAGCAGGTATACCACACATATTGCTCTTTTTGATCTCCACAAATAAGTTAATAGGTGATTGTGTGTGTGTGTGTGTGTGTGTATATGTAGGTATATAGTATGCTGCATGTACGTATTGGAAGCTACACCTTAATAATAACCTACTCTTTACCAGCAATAGAGAAATATGGAAAACGAATATGTTAATGATTCTGTTCATGCATACTGGAGTGGGGCTATATTGGGTTTTGGCAGCATATTATCATAGTTTTAGCCAATAAAGTAAGTGCTTGTCAAATGCTGAAGCTAATATTTTTACAGCTGGAAGATTCATCATACACACGTAGTCACTAATCATAAATTTATTGAGGTTAGACAACTTTATCGAACACCCCCAGTGGACACATCCCAACAGTACTTATTTTACCAATTAAATACTGGCATGTTTGTTTAACCCCTTAAGGACCAAACTTCTGGAATAAAAGGGAATCATGACATGTCATGTGTCCTTAAGGGGTTAAAGTAATTTAGATTCCGCTGCTCCCAAATGTGTCTATGCTGCAAAGTAATAGGGCATGTATACATATAGAAGTTTGTTCATTAAACTTGTTATTGATAAAGGAATTGCAAATTTAGGCTAAAATATCAAAATTTGAAGAACTTTATATATTCAATAAACCACAATATATAAAGAAAGCAGCTGAATTATCATTGCAGCATATGCAGAAGCTCGAGATCTGACACCATTTTATTTTTAGTGATGACATTTTAGACTTGGATGGCTTAGTGTCTTGGCTGGGATTTTTTTAAAGTTTTTTTTGTTTGTGGTTATTCCAACATGCCTGTACACACAGACCCATTTTAAAATGTTTTAAAAATTGTGTGTGTGTATGTATATATCTCTATCTATCTAGTTTTCACTTTTTGGTTGACCATTTAATTTTGAAGTGCACATAAATGCCTCCTTTCTAGTTCATAAAATATATACATATCTATCTCTGAAACAATTAAAAAATCTAGTGAACATTATACAGAGTATCTGTCACGCTGTAGTCATCAGGTGTAGTATATCTTGAGTTGATGGTCAGAACCGTTGGAATGGTATCAGGCATTATGGACACGCAGGTCCAAACAGCAGTATTAAGACGGACAAATCATACATTGGCATTCAGTTAAACATACAGCTCAGATGCGGGGATATCGGAATCCCTCCATACATCTTTCAGAGACAAAGGCAGTGAAACTATAAAGTCAGGCTGGTTTTCCCAGTAAATGGTCCGTCTACAGACCGCTGCTAAGATCCAATGCCAGGTGTAGGAACTCACTGGAATGTAATGTGTGATGCGGAGTATCTCATAGTCACTAGTCATTTAGCGTATAGTTCTAGTGCACCTGCCAGTGTAGTTGGTGCAGATACTTTTTTTTTTGTAAAGAAGACGAGAAGGATGAAATCTGAGCAAAGGATCCGAGAGTGTTAAAGAGGAATAAAAGATACAGCAATCTGCATTCTCCTGCAGGGAAAGCCTGGAAGCTGAGGATGTCCCCCCTGATGACTAGCGGGGCTATGGTAAATTTTCAAACTGTACTAAAATGGTTTGGCTATTTACAGAGGGATTGCACCAGGGGTCTGGAGTGGTTATAGTGCTTGGAATGTTCTTTCAAGAAAACTTGGGTTGTGTGAGAATACTGTTGCAGTTGCATGACCGTGACAAGTGGTAATTACATTTTTCTTTCAACAATTGTTCCTTCTTAGTGTTGAATATGTGTGGTTGTCATGGTATAATCATAGCAAACTATTCTAAGCCTCTGGCAATCAACTTACACAAAAAAAGATAATTACAATTCTATGCATATAACATTTGTTTGTCATTCCCAGTTGACCATTGTTCTGAATGAGAAAATGCACCCAGTCTTGGATTATATTGGCATGTACTATGTATTTAACATTAAATGCCATTGTATTTTAGTGCATGCTCCAGGCTGAAATGAACAGGCTGGCTACCTCTGACAGTCTTTTTTTACAAATCTGACGTTGGTTCCTCTGTTATGTCGGCATTTAAGGGAAGAGTATCAATGGAAATGATATTGGCAAGCAAAGCCTCCTTTGGACTGTTTGTCTAATTGAGGCAGCTCTCTGATTCTATAAGGGTGCATCTTTGCTCGCCATTTTTGATGCTTTATTCAGACAATCTTTGGGGGCAAACAACCCTCAAGGGAGCTCCTTTTATGAATGTGTTGACTCTCTCATTAGCATCCTATTTACTTCTCTTGCTATTGGTTGTATTATAGACATGTGAGGATGACTTCATTATTGTTTTGTTTTTGCAGTTATTGTGCCAACCTTTTGTATTTAACTTTATCTCTATGAAAACAATAATAATCAGTCTTGCAACGTCGCAGGAGCAAGGTTGTCGTATGAATCCTATAAGCTACAAGGCACATGATATTACTGCACATTTTTAGGAAAATATCTACAAACACGTGCTAGGCAAACATGTCAATAGTGTATTAGGATAGATTGCCTTGACATGGAGATAGTTATAATAAAAAAAATTGTAAAACTAGAAAACAAAATAACATGTCAGCCGAGTATGAAGAAGTTAGTAAACCTAGCTAGACAAACTGACATTATAATGAGCAGTAATGCCACCGGGTATGATGTAGTGATCAAATAAATAGCTTCAAACAAATATAAAACAACCACATGAGCGCAAGTCAATTAATTAGGAACCATGATAGTGCAAGTGGAGCAAAGGTCAGCTGCGATCATCCTATTCAGCAAGTGTTGCCCGCTCCAGCTGTCACAAGCAGAAAGTCTCACTCCACACAGTGCTGTCACAAAACTATCTTGACTATGTTGCTGCCTGGTGTGCATTAGCCCATAAAGTGCCAGGTCTCCGTCACTAGAACCCCAGGCCTTAATGGTAGCCAGTGCCTTATGTTCATAGATCTTCCACCCCAGGGGGTAACAGGGCTGTCACTGCTCAATATCAAGAGGTGTGCCTTTTATCAGAAGATCTGCTGCTTCCCCCAACCATACATGTTCCTGTCTCCGATTCTGATGTGGAGGATAATGAACTCTCCTCTAACCTGGGTCAAAAGGATGCACTTGGCATTACCAACATCAGCCTGTAGCCTAGGATTATATTTTGCAGAATTATCTGTGAGAATGTGTCTGGCCATGCTGAATACCAAGCCCCACCCCTGTTTATTTTTTAACCACAGCTCCCCCCCCACTCCTCAACTTAAAAGCGAAACGCTCAACCTTAAAGGACCACTATAGTGCCCTGAGGGTGCCCCCACCCTCAGGGTCCCCTTCCCACCCGGCTCTGGAAGGGGGAAAGGGGTTAAATCTTACCTTTTTCCAGCGCTGGGCGGGGAGCTCTCCTCCTCCGTTCCGCCCCGTCGGCTGAATGCGCACGCGCGGCAAGAGCTGCGCGCGCATTCAGCAGGTCACATAGGAAAGCATTCATAATGCTTTCCTATGGACGCTGGCGTGCTCTCACTGTGAAAATCACAGTGAGAAGCACGCAAGCGACTCTAGTGGCTGTCAATGTTCTCTGAAACTGCTATGTTTATTAAAAAATGGGTTAACCATAGCTGGACCAGGCACCCAGACCACTTCATTAAGCTGAAGTGGTCTGGGTGCCTAGAGTGGTCCTTTAAGAAAACAAAACAAAATCTGTAAGCTGTTGATTATTTATAAAAAAAAAAAAAAAAAAATTTCTTGAATTTCTCAGAAATTGACTTTACCTCACTTGATGTTGTGCATTGCAGTGATTGCTGTCAAACATATGCATATAATTTGATCAACCGTTATTCTCAATTAATTCATCTTTTCCTGGCTGTAAATTAAAAGGGTTTTTGCTCCAAAATGTTGCATGCTTTGTCCACCCCTGACACTATTTTATAAAAACATGACTTTTTGTTTTTTATGGCTCCTGTCTTTACAGGACCTACAGTTAACTAGTTGCAACTCCAGATTAATCAGGCGTGTGCATATGTGGGTGTTTGCATATCATGTAATATTTGCTAAGTGTGTAGGTCACCTTGCTAGCACGCACCTTACATTTACCTGCGTATCTCAGAATATGGCTCAGAAATGCAGCTTTAGGGTGTACACTGAAAACTCACACCCGCCAATCTGGTTACTTCAAGGTGTCAGTAGGCCTATTTAATGACCTTGAATTGCATTCCATGAGCCCCTTATCAGCACAATTTCATAGATGCAAATTGCAAGCCATTTGGAATATACAGGAATGTGGTTCTCTCCACCAATCATTGAAAAGGGAAATGCCCTTCACATACAAATTAACTCCAGGAAATTTTTGTTCTTTTCATTCCTGTGAAAGCCTTGCAGATTAAAAGTTTTTGCAGTATATTTAAGGGGAAGTAACATTTTTCTGGTGGTGCATGTTCCTTTTTCACTCACTGCCAAAAGTGCTTTTAGTGTGAGGAGTGCAGCAGAGGGAGGTATGAAACCGCACATTCACAGCTTTGTGTTTGTACACAATGCATTATGAAGGCAAATCATTTTGCATTTAATGCACAGGTAACTATATAGTTTTGAAAAAGCTTAGATGACAAAATTTACTTTTCATAGTGATTTTCTTTTTTTTTTTCTTCTTCATGGTTGTTTTGCAATAGTTAACTTCAATCAGTTGTGGTCAACTCTTATAAGTCCTTGTTGTCTAAACACAGAACAGTCTTTAGGTTCATAATGGTTATCAATAGCTGCAGGCTGTTTTTGGAATATCAGGACTATTTATTGTTTAAATAGCGAGCACTGGAAATTTCCTTTTCAGCTGCCGCATACAGAGATTTAGGGCTAGGCAACGTGGGAGCACGCTGACATACAAGCACTTGTGTAGTTTGTCCCTGTTTTGTGTTGGTCATTGTCTTCCTTTGGCAGCATAATGACCTACATTATTCATATACATGTGAAATGCTTTCATTCACCTAGTGTGTGTGTGTGTGTGTGTGTGTGTGTGTGTGTGTGTGTATATATATATATATATATATATATATATATATATATATATATATATATATATATATATATATATATATATATATGTGTGTGTGTGTGTGTGTGTGTGTGTGTGTGTGTGTGTGTGTGTGTGTGTATATATATATATATATATATATATATATATTACACAAGATCCAGCGCACTCACCTATCCACTAAACAGCAACTTCAATGTTGAAAGATTTTATTTGTTTTTTTTAAAACACCTAATCTAGGCAAAAATAATGGGGGTTTAGTTACATTATATGATCATACATTGCATAAGCCTGCCACAACGTCAATGTACCCCATCTTTGGCAGGTCCTACACTAACAGCCTAATGTCTGCTCTTATGAGATTAACCTACTTGGGGAAAGAAATTCCATCTGGGGCTCTCTGCAGTACAAGGCTAAATAGGGCCCTGGGATGAGGCACCTGTGACAGGGAGGGGTGCAAAACCAAGGAGTTGGCTAGACTCCCAAATATATATAAAAAAGAGGGGGTTGGCTGCACTCACCTTAACATGCATAAATGGGGGTGCTGCTGGGGGCCAAATAATACAATACACAAGATCCAGCGCACTCACCTATCCACTAAACAGCAACTTAAATGTTGAAAGATTTTATTTCTTTTTTTTAAAACACCTAATCTAGGCAAAAATAATGGGGGTTTAGTTACATTATATGATCATACATTGCATAAGCCTGCCACAAAAAAACAAATAAAATCTTTCAACATTGAAGTTGCTGTTTAGTGGATAGGTGAGTGCGCTGGATCTTGTGTATTGTATTATTTGGCCCCCAGCAGCACCCCCATTTATGCATGTTAAGGTGAGTGCAGCCAACTATATATATATTTATATTATTATTATTTTTTTTTTTTTTTGTATGGTTCTGTTTTTTTTCCAGTTGCATAACTCTGGGGAATACATTGGCTCTTTAGAAATGCCAGTAATGAATGTTTAAATGGACACTATAGGCACCCACACCACTTAATCTCAATGGCGTTTTAGTCCTGCAGTCCAAAACATTGCATTAGATTAATGCAGTGCTAATTACCTAATGTCTAGTGGATGTCTTCAAAGTTATTCTGTTATGGGAAGTTGGAAGCATTTGATTAGGTGTGCATGAGCTTCTAGTCCCAATGCATGCTTGTCTATGAGAAAGTTTAGATTGTACGAAAAGCCAGGAAGTGACACCCAGGATGTCATCACAGGAGGAGTAATGGTTGGCAGCACCTAGTGAGTTTCTGCGCTGTAAAAAAAAAAAAAAAAAAAAAAATTTTTTTCTAAATGGCGAGGAGACACTACAGTGTTGTGAATATATATTTTGTATTGCTCATGTTAGTGTTATTTTAAGTCACGTGCAAAAACAGAAAACCGCAAAATGCTCTGGAAAGTTGATTCTTTAAAGACCTAAAGTTTGGGGCGTGGCCTGACCGTGAAGGAAGCTGGACGCGTCTGACTAGAGCTCCGCTCCATTCACGCTACAGTTAGCTTACAAAAGCACTAACAACGAACAAAAAACAAAATATGGATAAAAGAAACCCTAAGAAATCGAACAAAAAGGGCCAGGAAGGCGGAAACACCGTGATGGGCCTTTTTGCGGTGCAAAAAGCCGGACAACATGAGACCCAAGATGGCGCCGGTGAGGGCCTCTCCTCCCGGCCGCCCTCTCCGCACACATCCCCACCCGGAGACACATCCTCAGGGGATGCAACCCAGATACTGGCAGAGGTGAGTGCATACCTGGCCAGGGAAATTGTAAAATCTACGTCAGTCCTACAGGCCGAGATACATGTGCTGGGAGCGCACTCACCGCCTGGAGACCAGACTGGAAACTACCACCGCAGCCCACAATGCGATGGTCTCCCAAGTAGATAACCTATCGAGCCGCATGGCGGACACCGAACTGTATATGGAGGATATGGCTAACAGGTCGCGGCGCAATAATATCCGCCTGCGAGGCCTACCTGAGGCGGATAACAAAGGCCCCATCCGAGACCTGGTGCTGGAGGTGTTGAGGCCTCTGTTACCTGACATACCGGCCGAACAGTGGTCGATAGAGAGGGCACAAAGTCCCTACGCAACAAGAGACCGGACGCTGTGTTCCCAAGAGATGTAGTCGTCCGTTTTCTACACTTCCAAACTAAAGAGGCCCTGCTCGAGGGGTAGAGATGGCCCCATACAACACAGAGGTGCTGAAATACACCTGTACCAGGCCTTGACGCCGGGAATGGAAGCCCATTACAGAGGCATTACGCTGGGCAGGAAACCGCTACGCATGGGGGTTCCCCTTCAAGCTTCTGGCCTTCAAAGATGGCCGCACGACCGTGCTCTCACCCAGCGGAGACCCACACCAGCTGTTCCGGAGTCTGGGACTCCCGCCCCCTCTCAACCTACCGGCGGTACCCTCAACACCGGAGGGACTGACGACTCTACCCACAGAATGGCATGAAGTCGGAGACGGGAGAAGGTGACAACAATGAAGGGTATCATGAATAGGGGCCGAGGCTGATGGCAGCAAACCTGGGGCCTGCTCAGAATAGCCGATGGGGGGTTGGAGGGGCACGGGGACCTTTTTTCTCCCAGATTGGCCGGCCAAATTCCCACGCACGTGGGTTACCTTGGAAACCCTCAGGGTGGACGACGGGAGGGGAGCCTCTGCGGCTATTGATGGCTGGGGTGTGGGGTAGGGGTACTTCGAGCTCGCTGACAGCCTACCGGCACCCACTTCTGAGGCCTCTGGGCCCTCCAACGGACACTGACGCTGATCCTGCTTTTAGCATGCAAATTGATGAGCTGCAGGGACATGGGGGAGCTTGGCTTGGTCTGTAGCGGAATGGGACTGGTATTTGCGCTACTAATACCTCACTCCAAGGGGGTGCCGACTGCGCATTCATGAGCCTAGACAGGCTGCCGGACACATCTCCCGTCGACTCCCTCCGTACATATTGACCCCCCATGACATAGACGAGCCACAATATCACACAACCAAAGAGGGCCCACGCATTCCTTCACATACGCTACCGACATACTACATACACCTACATCCACATGACCCAACACACACACGCATCAGGACACCAAGCGGAAGCACCTGATGACCTTTCGCACACTACCCTACCTGCCAGGTCGGAGTAGGGGTCCCCACCCGAGACTGGCACAAATTAACTAGCCAACAACCAAGTCACATTACAAATTTACAGGAGATTACACCCTGGGGATGGTGTTCCATGTAACATGAGGGTACCACCCCAACGCTTATATAGCCACCCTGCATAGCAATTACTCTGGGCCCAATCTGATGCTGAAGCTGTCGGTCCCTAAACCTAATCCGAGTCTACCAAGGTTTCTATCGAAATGTTTGATTGTTTCATCAAATATGCACAGTATTGTCTACATGGTTTTGAGAGTACCGAATCAAAATGCCTGACCCTCCTGTGAGGCGCGCGGTCTGCACGCGCCCACGGAGAGCTGCAGGCATCACGTTGTTGGCATTAAGATGCGTAGCGTGACATAGTCATGGCTCATGGACCTACATCTCACACTCGCGCTGGACGCGGTGGTGGTGCCGGTCCATGTACCCCTACAAAGTCTGGCGGATGGTAAGACCAGGCAGAGGTTACTTAGTTCTAGGCGTGCCTATGGCACGCTCTTCTCCTTTCTATGCTCTTTTCTCCCTTCCCTCTTCTCTTTTCTTTTGGGACGACACTGGGGGGGGGGGGATGGGCGACTAATGGGGGGCGATTGACTATTGAACAAAACACGACCAGGGCAGTCAGAGCAGAGGTGGGCGTGTTGCCCGGCAGGCCCCCCCAACAATACCCATGGAGATAAATCACACTCACTAAAAGTGAAGGGCCTGAATGCCCCTAGAAAGCGGCACCTAACGTTCCGTGAGCTAAAAAGAATGGAAAAAGATATTGCATTCTTGCAGGAGACCCACCTCCCAAAACATGTACAATTTAAACTGCAAGACCACACATATGGCTCCACACACGAGGCCAGGGCACACAGGAAGTGCAACGGCGTAGCGATATTGATACGTAATAGTTGCCCTTTTCAAGTCTCAAACTGAAATCGACCTGGACGGGCGATAAATCATCCTCTCTGGCACTCTTTACTCACACACGGTCCACCTCATCAACATATACGCACCTAACCAACCGGAACAGAGATTCTGGGATCAGATACAGGACAGGGTGCGGTCTTTGCCGCGCGGTATGGTGGTAATGGGGGGGACTTCAACGCAGTGTCGTGTCCCGCCGTCGACAGGTGTGCTCACAGAGGGATCCTGAGATCCCAGGGTAGAGGGGGACAAGACAAACTACTACACGAGTTCATAACAAGCACGGGTTTAATAGACATATGGAGGGCGCACCATCCAGGGGAGGTTGACTACACCTTTCACTCCGCACCACACGACACATACTCCAGGATAGATATGTTCCTGGTTAACGACTGTACCCTGGCTCGGGTTCAGAAATCATCGGTGGGCTCGATAACGTGGTCCGACCACGCTGACGCTAGGAAAACTCTGCGCCGCGACCCCTTGGGCATGGAGACTGAACACATCCCTACTGAGAGACGCTGACATCACTAAACAAATACACAAAGAGCTGAGTACTTTACTCTTAATGATTGTCCGGACTGGAAGGCAAGCACCACTTGGGCGGCCCACAAGGCCGTAATTAGGGTGGCTTTCATTCGCCTCGCGATCAAAAAGAAAAAACTAAAATCCCAAACATTAGAAAGACTTCTGTCAGAGTTACAGGCTCTAGAGCAGACACATCGAGCCAACACAGACAGAGAAACGTTCCAACGCCTAGCAGAGGTGAGACATAATATCCGAACCCTACTGATAGAGGACACGGCCAAGGCCATGACGTACACAAGACGTACATTCTATGAAAAGGCCAATAAGACTAACACTTTCTTAGCCAGGACCCCAAACCCCAGACAAAGGCGCGCACACACATCACTTCGATTCGGCACCCAGACGGAACCATAAAAACCACCCCGACAGATGTGGCCTCAGTATTCACTGACTTCTATAAAAAGCTATATAACCACTCACCAGGGAGATAGGGACACGGAAGAGGGACAGATTCAGAGCTACCTGAAAGAACTAGGCCTCCCTAAACTGCCGCAAGAAGCAATAAACACCTTAGCAGCTGAAATAACAGAAGATGAGAGAGACCAAGCCATCACAGCTCTTAAGGGGAATAAGGCCTCCGGGCCAGATGGCTTCAATGGGGGATATTATAAAACGTTCCGTGAAGTCCTCACTTCCTACCTGCTCAAACTATTTCAAGAATTAAGGGAAGGGGGAACACCCGATAGACATGTCCCTGGCCACCATAGTGCTACTACCTAAACCCGAGAAGGACTCGCTCCTACCAGCGAGCTATAGACCCATATCATTAATCAATCACGACATGAACATATTGGCAAAACTGCAGGCGACCAGATTAAACCTCCTCCTAGCGACACTTGTAGATGGTGACCAATTCGACTTTATCCCGGGGAGACAGTTGTTTGAAAACACACGCCGTAACATCGCCCCAATATGGAGACAGGTCACTGCACGCACGCCCACACTGGTGGTCTCCCTTGACGCCGAAAAAGCCTTCAATAGGGTCAAATGGCCATACCTATTCGCTGTATTGGAGCACTTTGGGATACCCAAGGAGTATATCACCCTCATACGAGGCATGTATAGTAACGTCCGTGCCCAGATACAAGTTGCGGGAGCCCCCTCCAACCCTTTAGGCTACACAACGGCATGAGACAGGGATGCCCCTTATCCCCACTCTTATTCTGTTGCTTGAACCACTGCTACAAACCCTGCGACGACACCCTGGAGTGAGAGGAGTGACTGTAGGAGGACAAGAGTTCCTAGTCTCTGCATACGCAGACGACATGCTCCTGACACTGACGAGCCCAACGGAATCAATGATCGTTCTAAATGAGATCCTGCAGAACTATGGAGCACTCTCAGGATACGTGGTCAACATGACAAAGTCTAGCGCTCTCCCACTGGGACTGGCAGCAGCGGACACCGCAGCGATCAGAGACAGGCACACTATACACATAGAACACTCATCTTTCAAGTACCTAGGGATACACCTGACAGCTGCCCCGGACAAGGTATTCCAGCATAATTACATCCCCCTAATCCAAACGCTGGTGAAGGATTTAGATCAATGGCTGAACAAACCCATATCATGGATTGGAAGAATTCATTCTGCTAAAATGAATGGCCTGCCGCGCATTCTCTTCCTGTTTCAGGCACTACCAATACGCGTTAACAAGGCCCAATTGCTCCCTCTCCAGAGAGGGCAATATGTGCATTCAACTGGCAGAACAAAAGACATAGGATCTCCAGACAGGTTCTATAAAGACCCAAACCTAGAGGCGGCCTGGGGCTTCCCTTCCTATACTATTACTATTTAGCAGCCCAATTAACACAAGTAGCAATGTGGCACTCACCCCCGGGAGACAGAAAATGGGTTGATATAGAATCGCTCATGGTAGGGGCCGATCTACCACAATTCGCAATGTGGGTACCAAAAGAAAACAGATCCATCCTTAGAGTTGCCTACCCAACAATCCTCAACTCCTTAAGAATCTGGGACTCCTCCCACATAAAACACAAACTAGCTTCCTCACCTTCCCCCCCCCCCTCATGCCATATCTACAAAATAGAACCTTCCCCCCCCGGGACTTCAGAAACATAGAACAGACAGGCATCCAGAGAATATGCCATTTGTACCAGGGCACTGAGTTCATTGGCTTCGAAGGCTTTGCTAGTCCAGGAGGCAGGACTGGTAGATGATGTTAGAGTATCTGACATAGAAAATAGCTGGTGTACAATACAGTGGGCATCTGCTGATACCCTCGAGTAGCGGCGGATGCCCCACCCTTACGCTATGGAAAGCTCATGGTCATGAGAAGTTATCACTGCATACATAAACGCATGTCTGGTATACTGGCAATGTCAATCTTACTCCAAAACTCATTGACGACCGGCCAAATTGTAATTACTTGTGTAGAATATGCATTGTTCAAAGGCATGTTGCCTTTCCCTTTTCACTAACATGGGATATTATATTGCACTATAACTGACTTTTGCACAAGTCATGTGGCTACTGTTATGTTCGCTGACTCTGTCAAGATAATAAAATAAAAATAAAGACCTAAAGTTACTCGTCCATTCATTCTTACATTTCCGCAGAATTCTTTATTTTAACCCAGTGGCAGATTGTTAGACTAGTGGAAATTCCCAGCCTGCTGCTTAAAACCAGTTGAGTTGCGTGAGATCATGTCTAAATAGCATATTAAAATGGTACAAATAAGAGCTATAGAGTTGTATTTTTTTTTTTTTCCCTCTCTTCTTCAAACTGTGAAATACAGTAAATAGTGGATGATGGAAATCTAAGACTTCCTACTGCTACATTTTGTAATTTATTTTCAAATTTATAGCAATTCATTGTTTAGTAAATTAATCCCAGATTTCTTTCATTGCAGATTAAAACCTGGGACAATTTGTGGTATTGTAGAACACATTTTATTGTGACTGTGTGTTTGTTCTGTGAGCTGTAATTTTAAGCATATTTAAAGCTGGCTTGGTCAGTGTTCAAAGGCTAAGCCTTGAAACCGGGTTTTAAAACTTATCCTGGCTATGCAAATGGTAATGTGCTCCTAGTATATGTATCGTTGCAATGAATCTTCACCATACTGGATGTAAATGGCTGTCCATTGTGCAGGCAGCCGCATGGTGACTCAGAGGCCTTGGCTGTAGCTGGGTAGCACTGTGATTGCAAGCCATCCGTTATCCTCTCTTCCTATTGTTTCTGCGTGAAGCCAAACAGAAGCTGGGTTTCAAGGGGAGGGATATAGTGTATTCCTATCCAATATACAAGTGGTTGCTACCTGCGATAATTTACAACTCAGCTGGATGGTTCTCCTGTGTGCAGCTTTGGTGGCTGGAGCAAGTCTTAGAGGTTTGACCTATTTAACAGTATGATTCTTTAAAGAGTCGCTGCTATTATTTAGATTGTAAACTCCTCTGTTTCAACAGTTGTAAGGCTAGCAGAGCACTGTAGCAGTTACTGTACAATATTGATTTACTTTTTTGACCACCCTGCTATATATTAATACCAATGTAGAGTTTTATTTGTGTTTTAGGGATGTCTTTCATAGGACTTTGTAAAGCTAGTTCGTGTCTTTTTTTTTTTTTCACACCATGGGCTGTGACCATTGTTTCATTGATCTCTTATGCATGTGGCAATAGCTCGACAAACATTTTGCTTGTCGAGTGACTGATCTCCCCTGTATTCTGACATATATACTAATAAAATGTTAGAAACATACCTTCATTACGCTGTTAAATGTCATAGATTTCACCATTGTACTGATTGTGGAGAGTTGCTTGTGACTCGATTAGACATAAGTTTCTTTCAATAAGTGTGGATCAACTAACACAGATTGAATGTCAATTTGTGAATCCCAATCCATTATATGACAACTTTCTTATAACATTTTTGTTTATAAAAGTGCAGTGTTATGTGATAGTTGATAGTGGATGTTGAAGTCACATTTTATTGAGGAAGTGACTCATTTTTTTTTGCAAAGGTGTTAGATATGCATTGTGTGGTTGGAGTTTACATTAATCTTTTCAAACAAGGATGTCATCATTTACATGGTTGTATTGATAAGAGACCTTTCAATGTAATATTTCTGAACGGATTTCCTTAGAGGTACATTGTTTGTCTCTCTTATAGAATCCTTGATCTTGTAGCTGTCCTGAGCCAAACCAATTTGCAACACAGTCCTGGTGTTAGTGTACACCAGGGAACCTTCCCCAGAAAGAGTAGTGCGAGCATATTATACATGTTACGCTAAGGGCACTGAACATGCGACCATGCTCTCTGCTTTGTCAGCCTGCAGTTGGCTGGCCTGGATTGTTGACAGGCAGCAAACTCCTATGATATCTTTCTATTTCAGATACATTATAGTCCAAAGGTTCTTCATGAAATATGCAAGCGCTAAATTTTTTTTTTTGTAAATTAATTCCATTAATCAAAGTTAATTGAATTTGTCTGCAGAGCTAGCATGCATTATTTCACAGCAAAATTTTTATAAAATATGTCAAGTTCATTAAAAAAAAAAATAACATTAATCCCATTGTTGTTCTGCAAATCTATGTAAATGCAATGAACATTTAAGTTGTACTCTATTGTGATCAGTGCTAGACTATGCCAGCTACCCAGCACCAATCACAGTGTAATTGGCTGGGAAACCATGCTTGATTTTAGTATTGCAGGAAAATCTTGTACTGAAAAGTCAGTAGATTATGGCAACATGCCAATCATACTGTTTTTTAACATGGAAAACCACTGGCCAGAGGGTTTCCTTAGAGGTAGGGTTGGGATAAGGTATAGTTGTATGCTGCTTACGCATAGGGTTAGTATTTGGGTTGGTATAGAGTTGGTGTTTACTAGAAAAAAATAATTTGGATCCTAGATATGAAGCATTTATCAATTAAGAGAGACTGATACATTAATTTCTTTTGAGCTATTTTTATATTGTTGCAGTGTATGTGTAAAAATTATAAGCAAAATGTGCGGAGAAATGCGCCCCCCTTCATTTTTAGATCTTTATTCATATTTAATGTTAGGTGTACATATAGGATATTAAGACATGCCCTTTCGGTATTTGTTTAAAAAAAAAAAAAACTCAAAATATAGCATTTATAAATGTAATAAATATAAAGTAAAGTTTTGGTTCAGAAGGAAAATTTCCTCCAGCCTTTGGGGGTTAAGGTTGCAGCTTCAAGAAAATCCTAAAATATCCTATAGACAAGTTTTCAGACCCTTCAAAACCGCTCTGTCAACACACTCTTCCCCCAAAAGAAAGTATTGATGAAATACTCATATCAAAATATATCATAAGATTAAATAGGGGGTAAAAGGCATAGCTGCCATCGCCAAGCTTGTCTTTTGCCTCACCTGTCACTAGTGACACCTATGAGAAAAAAGACCTTGTAAATTTAGGCTTCTGCAGTCTCATATGTGGGCCCCTGTGAGGTGAAGCAGCATCAAGCTTTCTGCACCTCAATTTGGGCAGTTTCTGCCATTTATCACTTCTGTTCTTCTCAAACTGTCAGTTTGAAAGAGGAATGTCTGACAACCATATCCAGATTTCTCAGATGTTAGATTTGGGTTCCACTACTGTGCTTCACCAATAGGATGGTATTACACAGGTGAGGAACACTGCTTGGTTTCCTCCAGACATGATACCTGGAATTGAGGACAAAACCGTTCAATCTCCATTTTATTCAGACCAGTGAATCTTGCTTCTCACAGTCTGAGGGTCCTTACCGTGACACTTTCTATATTCCAAGCAAGCTTTTATGTGTTTTGCATTGAGTAGAGGACAGATCAGTGGAGTGTTGCAGTGAAAATTGGCCTTTCCAAGTTTCTCACATCTCCACAGATGATGTTTGGAGCCCACCCAGACTGACCATTGGGTTTTTGGGTCTCCTCTGTTACCAAGGTCCTTGTCTCCCTGTTGTTCACTTCTAGAAAAAGTGATGTTTATTTCAAACTACTTACATTTAAGAATTATGGATGCCAAGTGATTATTTTTTTTGTAGCCTTTCCCAGAGCTGTGCTTCCACACAACCTTGTCTGAGTTCTGCAGTCTGTTCTTTTGACCTCACAGCTTCATTATTGCACAAATATGCATTCACAGACCTTATATAGACAGGTGTCTTTCCAAACCATGTCCACTCAATTAAAATTGCCACAGGTGGATTCCAATCAAAGTGTAAAGACATCCAAAGAAATGTGATGTTTGAGCTGAATTTCCAGTGTTGGAGCAAAGAGCCTAAAGCTTTAAACTTTATTGCACTCTACAATTTTTTTTTCCCTTCATGTACGCCTTTTTTTGAGAAATCATGGTTGAACAAACCCATTGCAATATATATCTGTACTTTGTCAATCTGTTAAAATACAAATTACTGCGGTTAAGATACTAGATCAACTTCTCAGCCTGTCTGCAGCACACACCCATATAACCTAGTGTGACTTGGCTTATATCCATGACTTCTGAGAAAGTTTGGTTTCTCTCAGTTTTGATCATTCTACATAGAACGCTATACATGTTCCTCCTTTTTCCTGTCTCCTAGTTTGTCAGCATGGCTCTTTAACTGGCAGGTGTGTTTCAGACTGCTGGCACAAGAAATGTTTAGACTGAGAAATCCACCTGAATACGGCTGAATGATTTTGTTTTCTGGAAATTTTGCATAAGGAGTATAGGAAGTGACACACAAACTAGCTGACGCCAGCCGAGATGAAATCTTGTTTGCACTGATAATTGTTCATTTGGGGCAGAAAACAAAACATATTCAAGTTTGAGGCTGTTCAAAGCTGGAATTAGTTGCAGTGGGAATGGCTTGTTTCATTGACCTTGAAAGCGCCTCCCTTACACAGAGCTGGAAACAAGCTTTGATGGGACGGAGGTCTGAAACAAGCAAAGATGTCACTTAAATGACTGAAACTATGACACTTAAGCTCAGACAAGCTAATAAAACACTTGTGTATTGTAAGTGCATTTGAATTATTTGCGATTATAATTTGTATTAAGAGTCTGTACTAAACCTATATCTAAAATAAGGGATGGAGAGAAAATCCTCATGGGAATTTCAGTCCACCTGTCAACTCTTGCAGTTCACTTTGTGGTTGCAAAACTGGTTTTGCCCAGCTGTGCATGCTAGGCTATAAGCTATATCGGTTTTGAAATGTTTGGTGTGTTTGAGGTCTCTAAAAAGAAATTATTTAATGAACATAAGAGAAGGAAATAAGTTGTATGCATGAAGGAAATGTGTTTAAATGCATCTATATCCTCGAACATCCTAGTGCTCTGTTATACCAACTCATTTAGCAGGGGAGATATTTGAAAGTGGGGTAAACTTCTAAATTTGGCAGTTCACCGTAAACTGCCAATGGAATCCATGTTCTTACCAATTCTAGTTTCAATAGTGATTTTTTTGCCATACATTTTCTTTTAACAACTAAACATATCACTGTTTTGTAGATCTGCAGATGCATTCAATTCTGCATTTTCTTGTCCTCATTAGGATGTAGCTAAAAACCTCTTGAAAAGCTGTAGATTTCTTGTCTAAAATCCTTGCACGCCCTCCCTTTCTAACTCAGCCCACACTTTCTTTGACTGTCCAATCAGAGACTCGTCTTTCCAAGTGAAGTGCAAAAAAAGCTAACTGCACTTTTTGTAAAATGGAAAAACAAACCGGACACTATTCACACATTCACTTCTGCAAGCTGGAGTGCCCTATTTGTCCGATATGGCTTTTGTTTTGCCTAAAACACTGATACTAGAGAAGGTTCTTTAAAGATGTGGTCAACTGCAAAACTGCTCATCTCTGAGCCAGGCTTTGTCTAAGAGTATTGGGAGTTACAGGTCTGTGGGCAGGGAGCCAAACTTACTAGTCCCAAAGTGAACATGGGGTTGCCTGAGCAATGTGCTATATTTATAGCCATGTTTATAATACTAACATTTTAAATGCTGGTAAATATTTTAGCTAATGAGAAATGCATGTATGTAAAATAATACTACAACCTTTGCTAAGAATGTGTTAAAATCTAATTCCCATCTCCCCTCTCTCTCTTGCAGACTGTTTGTTTGTATTGGAATATTTGCTTATCAGTCTATTTAAAAGCTTCAACACCCTGTGACTGACTGGTTCGCTGAAGACTTTCACCACACAGAACTATTCTACACCGCCTGCAATATGTTTTAACAAGGTGCAAGTGGATTCTATTTCTGACAACACATTTTTTTTTTCTTAATCCTTATATCTATTTTGGTAAGTTTGGTAGCTGTTCTGTATTTAAATACATAAAAGAGATTGATAATGACCATGAGTTGGTTTAGAATGGTATGTTTTATACAGTCAGGTACTAATTGTTGGTGTGGTGTTTTGTATTTCCATTTTTTTGGGTGGGGGTAGCTGTGGTATGACTATAAAGGTTTATAGTTCCCTCCCTTTCAAAATCTTTAGATTCCACATGATTATAACAGAGTTGTTTGGGGGGGGGGGAAGAATCTAGAAATGGAAATAACTGGTTAAAGTATTAGTCAGTGTATGACCGCGCATGGACAGGTTTGCATAGTACAATCTGTGGCAGTGGAAAAATTAATCAGGTTAAAATAATACTTGGCTTGTGCTTTTATGATCTTCACTTTAGTCTGACATTGAAAAATCACTTTGAGAGTTTTGTCAGTTCTTGTGTTTAGTTTTTATGTTTGTGTTTTGTTTTTTACGAATACACAGGAGGAAAAACCAAAGTGTGGGGCCTTATTCACTACATTTCAAAGTCAAGTGAATACTAACTATATTGTGGCATATTAGCAACAAAGGGTAATTTGCTAAATGTATCCAAATCCTCTGTCATTGCAGCTTTGCTATTTTAACAAAAATGTTACAATTTGGCTTTCATTTTGTCTAAATTCATGTTATGAATCATGGGTCAAAGCATGTTTGAATATGTTTCTTTTTAAATTTAAAATCAATTTAAATTCTTTACTCATTAATGAAGCAGGAGTGCCTGTGCCCGTTTTTGTTTATGGGACATTATAGTCACAAAACAACTTTAAATTAATGATGTAGTATTGGTGTATAGGTCATGCCTCTGCCGTTTCACTGCTCAATTCTCTATTCAGGGGTTAAACCACTTTTATGCAGGCCTAGTCACCCCTTCCTGCATTAAAGGGGCACTGTTGTCACCCATCTTATTAAGATGGTCTGGGTGCAATGTCCATGCCCCTTTAACCATGCAATGTTAATTATTGCAGTTTCTGAGAAAGTTAAAAAATTAAATTGCCGGGTTAAGATTGCCTCTAGTTGCTGTCAATAGACTTTCCAATGAACCTCTTGTGGCTGTCAATCAGTCAATACAGACTGCCCAATGAAGCTCAATGAGAAGTCTTTGCAAAGCAGGTTCTCTGAACATTTGACTGCTAAATGTGTTTAGCTCCACTGAGCTAAACAGCCTGCTTGCTATAGGGCCAGTAGGAGGGGTGTAACAAAGTTAATTTATAAAAGTTCCAATTTCTTTTGAAATGTACACTTTTTTGTAAAATGGGGTTATAAAAAGAGGACAAACTGTTAACACATTTCAGTTTGCTGAAATGATTTAGGGGTTTGGAGTGTCCCTTTAAAGAATAACGTTTTTGAAAATTCGTGGAACCAAGACTATAATGAAAATTGTAGGTTTTGTTGGTTTAAAAGATCTTGAAATTGACTATCTCTTAAGGGGTTAATTTTTGCATGCATTTACATTTGTTTCAGTAATTACATCAGATACTGTTTTTGTTTATAGAAATTCTTCTGCAGGTACCAAGCAACTTACATTGAATGTGCAAACTTAAAAGAAAACACTTACACTCTTGCATTTTAAAGATAAAATATATATTTACAATGTTAATCACATTTTTGCCTCTGTTAAACTAATTTGCATATGCCCACCCAGAATCCTTTGAGTTTGTAACATCACTGCAGATTTGGGATTTCTGTGGGAAAAGAAAGACTTATGGCTTGACTGGTGTGCAGATTTTTGTTTAACATTGTAAACCATCCACAGACTACAGGTGGAAGGGGTTTTCAATCACAATTTTTCCCCACCATAACCTAATTGGGGAAAAAAAATATATACGATTAAACATCAAATACTCATATTTTGAAGGTCATAAATTTGCTCCGAATTACTTTACAGCTTCTGCATTGAGCTCTCACCAAAAACTATATTAAAAATAAACCCACAGGAAGACTCGCACACAGTTTTGTTGAAGTGTTTTCATGTTAAGTTTTCTGTTGATAGCTCTTGTTATCGCTTTGACTGCTGGCTGCCACTAGACAGTTTAACAAACCGCAAGTCAGGTTGGGAATCATGGGAAATTCAATTTTAATCGATGTGCTGTGCTAAAACTAGACTTAGAATGTCAGTGATCACAAACTAAAGTTAAGACACCTAAACATAAAGAGCTCTGTTTTTCACCCATGTGGATCCAGGAACATGGGTGAATTTGGTTTTTGGGGACTTGATAAAGACACAACTTGGGATGGAAATATTGACGGTTCCACATTGATGGAATTAAGTTCTCTTTTGATTGTATTCTATTTCGGAGGGCACCCTGGGATATACTTCACCCAGAGCTGGGAAAAAAGTTATTGCAGACATTCTTGTCAAGACTCTATTGAATACTTTGCTTTCTTTTACTGCTTTGTGTCATAATTAATTTTTTTTTTTTTTTTTGCTTTTACAGATATATAACAAAAATGGTTCCTAACGGATTTTTGAGTTTTGAGGATGAACAGTTTATAGAGTCTTCGGTAGCCAAATTAAATGCCTTACGGAAAAGTGGGCAGTTTTGCGATGTCAAACTTCAGGTAATTTTATTTAATATATCTCCACAGTATGATGGAATGTAATAGTTAGGCATGTTGAATTCTCATATTTTCAGTCTGCAGTCATATTGTTAAAATTACTGTTTGTACAAATAGTAGTTAAAGGTTCTTCTTCCAAATTTATGTCAAATTATATTATGCCTACATATACTATTTTTTTTGGCATAGTTTAATTGCATAGGAGTACAATTATTGCCAATGAAAGATTGTTTCCCCAAACAGTAACAAAAGGATAGACCTACAACATTACTCACCGTAAGCCTTGTATATGGTAAACTGTCTAGGCACATAAAAACAATTTGAAGTTGCATTACTCCTTTAGGACCAGTATCACGGCCTGGTCTCTGAAAATGGTAGGCCGGTATGAAGTCTCCAGCTCATTTCTTTTAGCAGATCCTTATAATCTAGCATTGTATAAAGGTGCTGAAATGTTTTGTTCATTTTACAAAAAGTGCAGATTTCAATAGAAATGTATTTTGTTACACCCCCTTGCTGTCAAGCAGACAACAGGTCCTGTTACTTCCTAGTAGTTTAGCTCAGTGGCGCAAATATCAAGAGGCAAGCAATCTGCAGCGTTTGCAAGCTGTGGTATACCCACAATGAAAAAATGCATAATTAAATACATGCATGTTTTCATTGGTTTGAAAAAAAAAAAAAAAGTATTAGGAGTATGAAATATTCACTTTGTTTCGTACTTACAAGATGTCTGTAGTGTATATAATGAAAATCATGATCTGCTGCTGGGTTTATCCAGTAAAAGACAAATATTATACTCACAGGGGTACTAGCAACCATAAATATATGAGAAGGGAAATATAAAATATCAACTTAAAAATATATACAATTTCCATGGCACATTGCGTCCTGTAAGAAAATGATTGTACAAATCTTAACTTAAAGGACCACTATAGTGCCCTGAGGGTGCCCCCACCCTCAGGGTCCCACTCCCGTGGCGCTGAAGGGGGAGGAAGGGGTTAATCCCTTACGTTTTTTCAGCGCCCGGCTCCCTTGGCCCTGGGACTTTGCTCCCTCTTCTTCAGTCATCGGCTGAATGCGCAAGCGCCACGTGCGCATTGAGCCAGTCCATAGGAAAGCATTTTTAATGCTTTCCTATGGACGCTGGCGTCTTCTCACTGAAAATCAGTGGGAAGCGCCTCTAGCGGCTGTCAATGAGACAGCCACTAGAGGCTAGATTAAGCCATAGGTAAACATAGCAGTTTCTCTGAAACTGTTTACTGCAAAAAGGGTTAATCCTAGCTGGACCTGGCACCCAGACCACTTCATTAAGCAGAAGTGGTCTGGGTGCCTATAGTGGTACTTTAAAATTAACACCAGCTCAGTTACCATTTTATTTAAATACACTTTTTACAATATGTATATGTGCGTAATCTTGACTCCCAAGGCCTTCAATCGTTTTTATATCCAGACATTAGTTTGTCTTCAGTTGTCATGTAGTACACATGCTACCTGGTATGAACCATTTTGTAAGTTAGTATTTGTTAGTGTCAGTCTTGCCAATAGCTGTTTGTAACTAAAGACTCTGATTTAGATTCTGTTTAGAACCAAAGAAGTCTTCGCTGTGTTTTTCTGCATAGTACATTTGAACAGATTTTTAGTTCAGTGGGCTAATGCATCATCTGTAGAATCAGTTCAACCCTTGGGGATCACAGGTTTAATTCCTGGCAGGGTTGACTCCGCCCTTCATCCTTCCAAGCTAGATAAAATGAGTACCATTTAATTTGGTAATCGTAACATCCCCTGGATGTTGGGCAAAAGTAACATCCCCAGGATGTACTTGGAAACCAGAGCAATCTGAATGTACCTTTCCAGGTTAAACACGTTATTATTTTTGAAGAAATTAGCATTAAAAGTATACAGGATGGGGGCTGCATCAATAGGTTTGCGTTCTCTAAACTGTGACTACAGGGGATTGATAAGAGGGAATGTGCCCAAACGAGGAACATTTTGCAGTTGACGTCTAGCCTTTTAAAAGGCTCTGCGTTTAACAAATATGTTTGAGGTTTGAATTTTGTTAATATAAATGTAAACAAATTTAAATATGGAATACAATTTTTTTTTTATTTTTTTTTTTGAAAAGGTGCATCACAAGGAAAAAAATGTTACTACACTTTATAGTTGGTTTTCAATATTCTGTTCAGTTTTGTCATTTCCTGATAAGTTAGTTTTGTTACAGAAAACTATGTTGCATCTCTAATTTTATTTCAATGTGTTCTAACCTTAGGTTTGTGGCCATGAAATGCTGGCACACAGAGCTGTTCTTGCCTGCTGTAGCCCCTTTTTGTTTGAAATATTCAACAATGACAATGAAGCTCATGGCATTTCTCATGTGAAATTCGATGATTTGAACCCAGAGGCAGTGGAAGTTTTATTGAATTATGCATACACTTCTCAGTAAGTGGTTTTTTTTTATTTATTTTTTTCCTCTCATTTATTGCTACATATGTTAACTGCAAAAATTGTCTAAACTTACCATTCCAATTATAATTTATTTTTCTGCACAAGATATAAGTAAGTGTGCCTGGCGCTTCAAATAATTGTTCAGTTAAGAATGTGTAGTAAACACAACCAATATAAAAGTGCTTCCCAACACGAAGTATGATAACATACAAAATGTATTTATTTTTCTGATCTTCTGAAATGTAAAGTGTTTTTAATGGTGTCATACTATGGTTAGATGATTTTCCTAGTAGCATTTTCCTGTTGATGTACATGGGTATTCCTCACACTTGATATTTTGCTTGGAAAGTTAAATCTGAGTTTAATCTAATTATTCATATTTAAAGACCTGAACCGGAGAACTCCCTCGTAAATGTTTTTAAATCAAGGAAAGCCCAATGCCTATAGCCTAAAAACAGTCTGAATAACATAAGTTATATATTCATAGAGTACAAATGAATGTAACAATGCATAAATATAGAAAACAAAACAAGTAATTATTTAAAAATAAACTGAAATGTCCATATTCTTTAAGACACTAAATGCAATTACAACTAATGTACAAGAAACAAGATAAAATTAAGTAAATGGAATTAAAATGACACTGCAAGCATCTAACTACCACTAGATTTTAAGCTCTTTGGAACTGGATCCTCCTCAACATATTGTTCCTGTAACATTTTATAAATGTCTCATTGTTAATTTTCTTTTTAATATTGTTAATGGATGCGAATTACATTGGTGCTACATAAATGTCAGTAATATTAATCACTGCTACTTTTAGGTTATGGCTCAACTCCTGTCTTCCATCATTATGCCTCTTAGTTTGCAAATACATCTGCAGTTGAAACTCCAATACCTGCTTACCCCTCTATTGCTTGATATTACTAGGAGAGGTACTGCTTAAGTTTTCTTATTCAAGCCTTGTTTAGACTCTCTCTCATGGCGTTTTGAGATCTCTTCCTATGCAGATGACTGTTTGTTGTCTAAGTAACTGGTGCCTTGTTGCCTCGGATTCCAACTCCCTGCTGCCATTTAAGTGCTCTGGAGAATCATGGAAGTGGTTTGTTCTTTGTAATAGGTGTTTGCCTTCCGCTTGCTCTAGGCTTTAATAACCACACTAATTTTAGTAACGTGATCTAACTAAATGTATTTCTTCTTTTATAGGCTTAAAGCTGAGACCGAATTGGTAAAAGATGTTTATTCTGCTGCAAAAAAGCTAAAGATTGATCGTGTAAAGCAGGTAATGTTGACCCGTTTTGACATGTAGATTATTTCAGTGCAATGTTTTATCACGTGGAGATAATTTAAGTCAATTGTGATTCCAGTTTTCTGGTCTGGATGCTTGCAATAAATCATGCGGTTATAGTACTCACGAACGCTGCGGAGTTTAGGTTCTAAACTGATCAGTGTTTTTAACAGTCCTACACGTCCATGTCCTCAATGTTCCTCAGCAGGAGCTGCTGGTGAACATGACCTATTTAATTCTTCTCTCCTACTGAATGCCAGGGCATGTTTTCCTGAGAGATAATGACACACAGGATTTATGTGGGCGTGGAGAGTTGCTTTTTGATCACATGCTCAATATGTCACCCTAAATGTAGGGCTTAAATTATAGGTTTAAGCAGCAATATATCTTTTTCTGAGTGTAGGAATACTAGTTCCAACTTATACAAACACTTCTATAATACAGTGTGACAATGCATCACATCACAGCAAGTGCAAACAGGTCAGTCGCACTTAATGTCAAGTTATATAATTTCTGCATACAATTGTATTGTTGATTGTGTTTCTGAAGTCAAGCTTGAATATCATAATGAATTGTAACCAGAATTTCTAAAGCCTAATCTGGCATAAATGTGCTAGTTTTAACGGCTTGTAAACTAGATGTATCTCAAGTTGGAAAAATGAAATGAAGAAAGCACTTAAACTCTTCTATTCTTTTTTGCATTCTGAGATTTATTTTTCCTTTTTCAGAAATAAGCGTTTACATAAAACTCACAAAATGGTTGTTCAAAAAGCTTTGTTTAAAAAATGTTAATAGCTTTTAATTAAAAAAAAGTGACGCTCACATTTCTGCAACTCTTCTTCAATGATCAAACAAATGTCTTGGCCAGAAGATGAATAGTTCTCAAATTTGTGAACACCATTATAATTTAAATGTGTTTTGCATGCAAATATTTATACGTGTGCATGTACTAAATGCCTTATTGGTATTGTTAGTACTGTAATAGTAATGGCATTGCACAGCCCACTTCATGGAAAGAGAATGGCTTTGATTCAGCGATGTCTCTCTAACAGCCTTTAGGTTGATGTGAAACCTCAATTCTTAATCATTTTTTTTTATCTTTACCAAAAGGTGTGTGGTGATTATTTAATGTCCAAGATGGATGCTGAGAGCTGTATCTCCTATCGGAACTTTGTCAACTCAATGGGTGACTGGCGTCTCTTAAGTAAAATTGACACGTACATTCAGCAGCACCTCTTGGAAATATCTGATCAAGAGGATTTTCTTAAACTTCCACGACTCAAGGTTAGTATAATAGTGGTTTTATATTGGGTTTTAAACTAATTTTGATGTGTATTTTATGGATTGCCACATTTTTTTATGGATTGTGCATATGGATAATCCACCTAGATAAAAATCTGACATTTTAGTTGCTGACCGAGGCAGCATTAAGGGAGTGAAAAGTTCACAAATTCTCTTCTTTTCAAACCATGTACTGCATGATTACAATTTTAGATATAAATTGTGCCAACTAAAGTTCTTTCAAATGTTTTGTTTTTTCTTGACTTCATTACCTTTGCGGAAAAGCTATAAGGAGATGACCTGTTTTGGAATTCTCATGCATCTGTGAAAGGCATACTGTAACTTCTACGGTGCACCCACTTGCTAGGTATTGTCAGATATCTCAAATTTGGATGGCTAAATGTACTTTCTACCCTGTCCAATCCCAGTAGTTCTTTTTACAGCACCAGATAGCACACCCACCCGGCTAGGATAGATTTTGAAGTCTTTGGCCCTGCTATTTCAAGCTGTGTTAAACTGCTTTTATGTGGTGCAACTCCTTTTACTTGTAAGATCCGAATGTTCAAGTATATATGAATCAATGCTTTTTATTTTTTCTTCTTCTTACAATCTTCTCACAATATACATATCAATGGTCCAAAAAAGGTAAGGTAGAGATGGAGTTTCCTGTACACCCATTGTGTTTATAAAGTGTTTCAAAGTGTGATCTTTTCCAATGATTGACCCGACTGGGCTAACAATTGTACTGTTTAGCAGCCAGATAACTAAATATAGGATATTGCTGGCCTGAAAAAAATACCTAGTTTTGTGCATTGAAATAAGTTATGTTGGTTTGGCAAACCTGAGACAAATATCCAAATATAACATATGCACCAGATAATCAAAATTGAAATTTTTCTAAAGCAATTAACTTTCTCTGCAGAGATGTTTGTCCAAGCTTTCTCAGTGTAAATTCTGTAATCCAATATACCTGATTAGCCATCAAGCAATCGGCCCTTATAGAAAACTACTGTTTGCACATTCCACTTCGACAAACTCAAAGGTGAGATGTACTTTCTCACTAAGGGGTCGTTCCAAGCATCATAACTACTGCAGCCCTCTGCAGTGGTTATGATGCCTAGAATACCTTAGCCCCGTTTCTCGGCAATGGAGCAAATGTTTTTTCTTAAATAGGTCACTGTCAGCTACCAAGGATTCTCCTGTGGCCTGTCATGCCTTTCGGTTCTGCGCAGTGGCAGAAACCAGAAGTCACTAGCTCCAGCCATTCATTGGCTAAGAGCGTCAGCTGACCGATCTTGGTCAATAATTGCAATTCTGTAAATTGGTATATGCACACAATTGACATTGGCCAACTCAGAACTCTTGTCCAGGGCTGGCTAATGAAGTCTATTTGAGGCTGCCAAAGGTGAAGTTACACCTCTGGTAGCAGAGGGGTTGAACTCTGCAGTGTTTCAAACGAACTCTAGGCACCATGACCACTTCAAATCACTGATCCATGGCTTGGAGTAACCCTTTTAATGCTTTAAAATTCTTAAATGTCATAGAACTGTCTTCTTAAATTGCTGCTGAGGAGCATTACTGAATGCATGGGTCTGCCTAGATTCTGTGTCCCCTTTGCAACCAAGTGCATCACAAGTCTCCCATTTCTCCCTTCTGAATTAATCGCTCCCACTGCTCGCATGCGCAATAGCTTGCAACCTTAGTTCAAGTGCACAATCTAGAGGGAGAAATCTTTGGTTATATAGAGCAATGGTTGTGTACTGTGTCCAGTGTGTTTGCCATGCTTGGGATAATAGTATAGTCTGTTAAAGGATTTAAAGACTAACAGACATTGCCTGCATTGGAATAAATTATTTCCTGTCTGGTTATCAATCATGTGTCCTAGAACATAACTGCAAATGTCCCTTCTTTGTCTAGGGTTTAATAAATACAGAATGCAAGGGATCTGAGCGAGAGCTTTCACATAACTACCCTGCACACACTGCCTTTATACAAGCCTATGAACTGATAGAACACTCCTAGAGGGGCTACATTATATATTTTTTAAACTCGCTGTAAACAAATATACAATTTTGAGAAGCGATAATACATGTTATGTAATGGAAAGATTGATATCACAGCTTGTTTACAGCAAATTCCTTGATATGACAGTCCAGACATGTGGGTACAGAGTTAAATGCTTTATTAAAATGTCATTTTAAACATGACAAGTCCACTTTAGCTAATATGCTTAAATCAAATATCCTTAAGCTCATTTTGCTCCTGCACATGTGTAAAGCAGACAGTGATTAATCTGTTTTGTTCAGATTTAGGTGTTTATACAGGTGATTAGTTTAGAGACAATTTAGCACCTGGCGAGTGTGCCATGGAATCTCCTGGTCTGCAATAGTGAATAACTTTTAAGACATAGCTAGTTGTTTAGGACTAGTAATTGTAGTATATGCAATCCTCCAGATGTGATACTAGTTTTTCCCTTGGCTATGTTCAAACATTGAAAAGGGGGGAGGGAGGTGTTAAAAACTGGTATTGGTTTGAAAATTTTTTTTGTTTAAACTTGCTGGCACACTACAGATGGCTATTACCCTTTTTGATATTTTGCACTTGGCACATTTAAGCACCTTGGTTGCACTTTAAAAGTATATAGCGCTCCACTGTTTTACATTAAATTTATGTTCATACATTGTAACTAGATGTTTTGCAGTTTGTGTAGATGATGCTCTTTTGTTCATTCTCACACAGGTTTCATGCAGCCCCTCTTTAGTTGACCATTGGTACTATTAGTACCTATATCAATCTGAAAGTCATAATGATAAGGCAAATAGCATTCTTGATTAAAAACACTGTCTATACTTATCATGCATATCCCAAGCTCTCCTTCCAGTCTGCAATCTCTCTTGGCAGCTCTGAATTTGGTACATACGGAGAGTCTATTTCAGGAACACATTATGTAAAATGGAGAAAGGTGGGCTTACATTGCAGAAAGCTACAAAACATTTGTTTTAGTACAGCTTATAGAGTAATTAGAAATACACAGCATTTCTATGAGGCAAAAAAAGATCAAATCAGTTTGATTGATTTTGTTCCTGGGCACGGGCTGGTGGTTACTCTTCTCTGCACGCAATAGTCATCTGGCAATGGACTTGCTTCTTTGTTCACCATAGGCCCCTAGCCAGGGCACCCAGATTAGGAATTGGTTAGAGGTCGGCAATGCTATGTGAACCTGCTCCCATTGTTATTGCATGCCTAGCTGCTAGCTGTATGTGCTGATTAGCTCATAATGTTTCACACAAACATACATATTATAAAATATTCCCTTTAATTCCACATCATTTGTACACTCAAGTAGTCTATAGCCTGTACATGCGTAGTACTACTGACACTTTTCTATACATAGTTCTAAAATGTGGAATCTAGATTATTTCTGCTGCGAAGACTTGAATGCCTTGCTCTCTGTATCCTTGCACGTTTCAAGTAATTGTGACTCATTTGCCTCAAATAATGATTGATTTAAAAAAAAAAAGCTTGGTTTGTGCCTGTAGTGTCTTTTTAAAATACATTTTTTTTTTTAAATGTGCAAAGCAAAACTTGTTAAATATTTGTGCACATTCAGTAAAAAGTATTCCTTTTGAAACTAAAACAAACTTTATTTTTTATTTTGGGGTCAGGACTAGTATACACATGTCCCATAGATTTGATTGTAATACATTTTCTTTTCTTGCTTGAAGTACAGCTTATATAGCAAAATAGAGGCATCTTGGGCAGTAATGTGCACAGCCACCTAACACACTTCTTGCAAAATTTAGGATTTTAATGGCTGTCCTTTCACATGCTGTTGGTGGGGTATTTGTCTGCTATTGAACTGTACACTACTATAGTGCTGTGATTTGTGTACATGATTGTACACTTTCTTCTGATTTTAGAACCTATTCTACTACTCAACATACTTCTACTTTGTCATATAAGCAGTTAAAAAATGTTGACAGAAATTTACTTTTTAAATAAAATATTTTTCATTGGTTTAATATCTCAATTATGAATTGCATTTCAGTTCTATAGAAATACTGGCTTGTGTGTGTCATTGAATTAAAACAAGATATTCTGTTGTCTTGCAGCTGGAGATAATGTTTGAAGATAATGTCTCCCTCCCCAGCAACAGTAAATTGTACGCAAAGGTAATCACCTGGGTTCAGCGCAGCATATGGGAAAATGGAGAAAGCTTGGAATCCCTGATTGACGAGGTTAGTCTTGAAATAAAAGCATTCTAATATGTCTAGGATGCTAGCCGTGTTGTTCTTTAACTAATTAAAATTGTCCTTTTATAATAATCAGAGTCCAAAATAAAGAGAGTATCTTTTTCAGTTGAAAACTGGTAGGTTTAAAGGTGAGATGAAATTTTATTTTCCAAAAAATCTGGTATTTAATCTTTCTTTTTCCTTTTTTTTTTTTTTCTTCCCCGGTTTGGTTTGTGTATAAGTGCTAAGGTTTCTTTTTTCTTTTTTTGCGCTTGAATATCACTTTAGACTTTTCAATGTTTTCTTACAGGTTATGTGCTTGAAATGACTTCGTTATGATCATCCGTTCTAACAGTTGTTCCTCCCCATTGATTATCTTTCCATAGGTTAATTAACAAAAGTAGGATACCCAAGATTGAAGAAAATGAAGATACTTCAAGGTTAATTGAACCGTAATGAAGCACCAGTCTGCCCTAACCCTTCTAAGAACATCCACTGTGGGCAGAGAGCCATGATGATGATGCTTTAATGGTGTTTACTCCTTTCACAGGATATTTGTGTGAATTGTACCGTCTAAAATTTGATTGAAAATGCTTGGAGAAGTTTTTATTTGACCCACAAGCAAAACGTTGTATAACCCTTTTTTTCTAATTTTTTTTTCTCCCGTTTTTTTTTTTTTTTTTCTTAGAAATGGTTTGATGCACCAGTATTTCAGTAAATGTATTTAAACTACAGTTTTTTTTTTTTATAAAAATATATTTACATTTCAGCATGTTAGGCTGAAACTTAAATGACATTAAACAAACATTCAGGTAACTGTTCAGTAGAGGCAAAATTAAATTTTCAGAAGTCTGAAAAATGTTATTTATATAACAATAATCCTGAATCCTTATTTTATAAGCTCCCCTCAAGAATCTTGTTTCAGCTCAATGAGGTCAGTGCCTAAGCTTGCGAGTAATGCTGCACGACTCTTCCTAGTGCCTGCTTACAAACTAATGTGAATGCAGAGTTTTTGGATTTCTGTAATCTCCGTATAACAAAGTACAATTCAGTAATAGACAGAACCAAAACTGTTCAAGCTATTTCCCACTTTAAAATCGTTCCCATTCAGATTTCCCCAGAAACTACTTGCAACAATATGCAAACAATATAGTTTGTTGTTTGTAGGTTTCTGGTGGGTTTTTTTTTTTGTTTTTTTTCCCCATCCTTTTTAATTTGGTGACGTATGTCAAATGTAATCCCATAAAAGTATAGGATATATTGACACTGAAGTAATGTTGCAGAAACCTTTCTGAAATTATTTCCCATATGACAACTCCAGGTCAGCTTTTAGGCCAAACAGCCTTTTTGCTATGTAGAATATGAGATTGGGATAATTTGGAACGCTCTGTGTAACATAGAAACTAGCTTTGGCTAAACCTACAGAGAAGTTATACTCAGTGCAATGGAAATTACCTGTAGAATGCTATAAATTTATTCTATTTTGGTATTCTCTCCCCACTAAAATTGGCAAAACACATTAGATTAGTTGGAGCTGCAGCGTTGGGGTAACGATCAGTGACTTTTTTTTATTGTGAAAACATTTATTCTAACAGTACCATTTACATTCAGTAAGTGGCAGATCACTGAACCCCTTCTTTCCATTTGTTTTGTTTTTAACATCAAAGACTGACTGCTATGACTGCTCTCTTCGCTGACTGCTACTGCGGTTTTATTTTATTTTTTTTTGTTTGCTAATGCGCACCAAGAAAAGACTTCCAGGAAAACAAGTGACATTATTTTTAGGGAATCCATATTGAAATTCTCAAATTAGAAGTGACCTTTGTCACGTTTGCATAGGTCATCTCCCTTTACTTTAGATTATTTTTTTGCTAAAGGATCCCAAGTATTTCTTTTTTTCAACTGTAAAACATAATTATCATTTCCCTACAAGTAATAATGCCCTTCTTTTTGAGTATAATTTCTTTGCTTGGAAAAAAGTTGCAAATTTGCAGCCCTTCATTTTGGTGCAGTCAAAGACAATCACTTTATGCCAAGCGCTGAATGATAGTAGCTGTTCTTGACAATTTGAACAAGTCTAGGCTACAGCCCGTTCAAAAAAAAAATTCCAAGTCCATCTTGTATGTATTGCATATATGGAACTTTTTGTACATGATCTATTTTTTTTTTTTTTTGGCATCTTATACTGTTTGGTCCTGCTTTCTCTTTAACTTGGTTTGTTTTTAGTACTTCCATTAGCACTTTAGTTTAATCCCCACTTTTATTTAAATTTTGCTGTTCCAGTACTAAAATCATGCACGCTTCTGGAAAAAAAAACTAAACAAAGAATTCAAACTCATTAATTTGTAAAGAGGAATTGCTTTTTGCTGTTAATTGTATGTACTTGCGTGCTTCCGTTGTCTTGCCTTGCACTGGAATTGTCTGCCTCTACGTATATTTTGTCTATGTATTTCTTTATCATTTTTGTTCTGGAAAATTGAAGAATCCCTTAAAGATAAAGAAGTGAAGACTCATCATAATGTATAGAAGATATGACTCCATGCAATATACTTTTTTCATTCTCAACGGTTTTGCCAGAAGGAATTCCATACCTGCCTCGAAGATGACATGGGGTCAAATAGATACATTATGAAAATTTCCACTGAAAAAGTATCCATATGGCTGTTCATTTGCTGTTTTGCAGGTACAAACGTTATACTATTCTGCTGACCACAAGCTCCTTGATGGGAATCTTTTAGACGGGCAAGGTGAAACGTTTGGCATCAATGACGACAGTATTCAGCTGGTTCAGGTACAATATTAAAACTCCCCAGACTCTCTTTAGGCTACAACAATACCACCACAACTGTCTTTCTTACAGAATAGTTAGCATTTTTTTTTTTAAATCATAGTACATGGCAACAAATACAAATTGTTAAATTTACAATTTTTCCTTCTTACATTTATAGAAAAAATCACCACGTGAAAATGATCATAGACACTTGAGCAGCAGCTCCTCAGGACCTCTTTCTCCTCCAAGTGCCATGTCATTGGGCCCGAAGCATGAGTGGAAAATCATCGCTTCGGAGAAGAAATCAAGTGAGTTCACATAATTTGTATGAATGTCTGTTACTCTGATTAAGGAACATACCAGTCCCATGAAGCACTTAAGCTTTCTGAAGTGCATTAAAGGACCACTATAGTGCCCTGAGGGTGCCCCCACCCTCATGGTCCCACTCCCGCCCTGCTGAATGGAGAGGAAGGGGGTTAAACACTCACCTTTCTCCAGCGCCGGCGCTGGGGACTCTCCTCAGCCTTTGGCTGTCATCGGCTGAATGCGCATGAATGCTTTCCTATGGACGCTGGCGTTTTCTCACTGAAAAATCAGTGAGAAGTGCGGAAGCGCATCTAGCGACTGTCAATGAGACAGCCACTAGAGGCTGGATTAACCCTCAATGTAAACATAGTAGTTTCTCTGAAACTGATATGTTTACAGCAGGCAGGGTTAACCCTAGAGGGATCTGGCACCCAGACCACTTCATTGAGCTGAATTGGTCTGGGTGCCTATAGAGGTTCTTTAAGGGTTAGCGTAATGTCTCCTTTTACATGTTCTGAAAATGCTGATTTCAAGAACAATTTGCACGCTTTCACCTGTGAGACAGTAGAGAGCTGCTCTTCCTTATAGCTTTGTGTAGACAACAAGCAGAAGGCAATACTTATCCCAGGGAAGCATTTGGTTCAATACATTTTATAGAGGTAATGCTTGGCGTGTATACTCCCTGCCACTGGGCTAGAAGTCAAACTTCTATTTTACAGGTATGGTTGGGTGACTGCCTAGGGAATTAAATAACACTCCTGCATTTTAAATCAGTATTTTCTTTTAATGAGATAATACTGTTGGAATAGTTAGTCAAACATAGTAAAGTGCCCCCACCATTTTATCATCATGTTTTAACCAAAAAATATACTTGTCTTTTTAGCATTAATAACAAATTGCACAAGAAAACAATATATTTAGATGACAAAAGCATTTAAGTCACATTAACATCCATTTTTCTTTTCTTTCTACCCCGAGAATAGACACATGTGTAATCAAACAAAGATAACTAAATTATGGTATTGGGGAAAATATATATTTTTGCAATATATGTATATATAAACACATTGAACATTTGAAAGGTTTTATATATGTAGCTGTTGATCTGCTTAGTTACGTTTTTCTATAGATTAGAATGCCGAGAAAATTCACGCTTTTTTAAAATTAAATCTTTTTTTCTATGAGCTTCCTTCTCATGTCAAGTGCTATTCCCTGCATTTGTGGCATGCAGTATGTATCTAAATCTCAATGTCACATTGTGTGTAAGCCTGAGCTGCACCTACTCACACATGCTTTGGGACTTTTAGTAAAAAAAAAAAAAACACTCTGTGCATGGTATAAAAAGGCCACTGTTTTTTTCATATATATTTTTTTTCTTTCTGTATTAAAAAAAAAAATTTAAAAAAATTCAAACACTCAGTAAAGAAGAAGCTAAAACCAATTTTAATTTAATGGCAGAATTGGTTAGTCTCAATCTCCCTAATACAACCTATTTTTGTTCCTAAAGAGATTAAGGGATTTACCTCTACACACAAATGTGCAGCTGGAGAAGCTTAATAAAATGCGAAATGCTATAGCTGTGCATCTTGTATTTATCTGGTACTTGCATAAATTCTGAATGATTTCCAACACGTTTACTTTATCCTTGTAACGTCCACTGTGGTCATCACCATCTTGGTCGTAAAGATGTTTTATTGAACATGTTAGTTAGAATTGGCAAGTGCCATCTTTAATTGTCCAGTTATACATTTTGAAGCTGACCTGTACTAAAAGTGTGTATGTATGTGTACACTTCATGGTAGTCTTACCAGAATAATCTGGCAGCAAAAATGTATAGGTTAAAAATCTGTGCAGCTTTGGCTTTATCGCCAAATATTGTTAAAAAGGTAAGAAAATGAAATACAGGAATACAATGTATGTATTTTTGCAAGCATTTTAACTAGCACAAAAACTACGGATTGTGAAGGAGTAAAATGTCCTTTGTACTCATGAAATAATCTGCGTTGCCTAGTACCACCAACAATTTCCAATGCAGAATATTCCTTAATTAATTAATTTGTAAGCTGAACCTGTATTTGTTGTTTACACCATAGTTGTATCCGTCTTGGTTAATTTTGCATGTTTAGTACTTCACTCTTAACCCTTTAGTGTTTATGCTGGGTGAAAAAACTCAACTGTGGTGTTCAAAAGGTTAAATAACTGCAGATGAGATTAGGGCATGTAAGTGAACATTGGTGCTACCTTGTGAAAAGTTGTACGGATGACGACAATACATAATCTAGAGTGGTGATGGCCAACAAATATATTTTAACTTTTCACCTCAAACCTGCTTTTTTACTACAGTATTGATTCCTTATCTGTGTTTTTTTTTCCCCTTCATTTCTGATCTATTTCTATTTAAAACAGAACAAGTTGGGGGGCCATTTTGTTTTTGTTCTCTCTACACTTGACAATATTGACAAAGAGTTAATTGACAAAGGAAGTGGAGTTTGCTTTAAGCGTCACCCATTGACGTGATTGTCAAGTGTAGGAAAATGCATATGACAAAGCATCCCTTACTTTTTGTTTTAGAGGGAGAGAGATCAGAAATTAAGAAAAGATTCTAATAGAGTAAGAATAAAGAAGAGAAAGGGAAGTCTGAGGTGACAGAAATCACCATGGCTATGAACACTTTTTTTTATGAATTTACAGTGAAACAAATTAAAATTTTCATCCTCATGTGCCTTTCAATTACCCTTTTAGAAATTGCAGGCTATTTTAAAGAAAAGAAAGTTGTTTTTAAATATGTATGTGTGTGTGTGTGTGTATGTATGTATATATTTATTTTTATGTATTTTTTTTTTTTCTTCCCTTTGTAGCTAAAACTTACCTGTGCCTTGCAGTCCTGAATAGCACATTGTGTGTTATTTTCTTGCATGTACGCAATACTCCTTTAAACTCTCCATTAAACACACCACGCTTGAAAAAGAGCCTGAGTATGGAGATACAGCCGGAAGATACTTTGGAGAAAGTGATGTCTCCAATGCATTATGCCCGCTCTGGTTTGGGAACAGCGGAGTTAAATCGCAAGCTAATAGCAGCAGGTAAGGCTACTAAAATGTTTTGCTTGCACTGAGGTTGTGATGCAGCCTTTAGCACAATACTATTTTGAGGCCTTGCCCGTGTTAAAAATATCCTTATTTATAAAACTGGATTCTTTGAAAACTAAAAAAAGTAAAAAAATTAATGGGCTCCTGAAAATGAGGTTGGTAACTTCTAATACAGCAGAGCACTCAATTTCACTCCACACTGCCCCTATACTGATGATATTCCAGCTAATCCAACGTTACTCCTAGAGAAGCATTGTCAGGCAGGGTGCGTGTGTGGCAATTTATTGTGACCAGTAAATACAACGGTTTTGTCTATGCACAAATGCCTCAGTTGCGTTTCATTGATATAAAGGGCTTGGCACCTGAAAGGAATTGGCATTTGTGGGTGACTTATACACTCTTGTAAATTCCTCTTTGCATATCGGAGCTGTTTTACATTATCTGTTGTTCACTACGTTGTTCGTTATACCTGATGTTAATCATTCCTTTTATGCTTCAATTAGTGTGTCAAACCTAAGAGGATTCACATTGCTATAGAGTACAAGTAAACCTTTTGATAAAAATTATCAACAATACCATGTTAAGTAAAGTAAACCTGTTGGTAATATTTGTGCATTACAAATAAAGACTTTGTGATAGTTTAAGTGTATTCTTATTTATTTTAATTTATCCATGTTCTCTTTACGTTCTCAGGTGGTTATAACAGAGAAGAGTGTTTACGCACAGTTGAATGTTATGATCCAGAAACAGACACCTGGACGTTTTTATCGCCCATGAAAATACCAAGAGCAAGATTCCAGATGGCTGTTGTGATGGTAAACCTGTGTGGAGAAATTATATTTGACTGGCGCTGCAGTCTCTACATTTATTTGTAAAATATTTAAGCTATTGACCTTGCTTGAGAGACCTCAAAATTATAGTCCATTCTAACTTTAAACTTTGTATGGCTAAAATAAACAAACAGAAAGGGAGCTGCTAGCAGGAGGTTCCATCTTTTAAGGGTAAGTTTGTTTTGTTTTTTAGAGCTGAATATAGGAAAGACCCTTTCTCGGGGACCGCCAAAAAAGGCAGCATCAACCTAAAAATTTAATTAAAATCAAATGCCTTTATTTCTTTATAGCAAAATGGCAACATCAAAGAGCACAGGACCACTTTGTCTGACTAATGCATTTTGTGCGGTGTGCACTGCATCGGCGACTTTTGATGAAGTGCACTTATATAGAAACAAAATGACTATAGAATAAATGGACCCTCTCAGTACCAAAACAACTTTAGCTGAATTAAGTGGCTTTGGTGTATAGATCATGCAGCTGCAGTCTCGCTGCTCAGTTCTCTGCCATTTAGTAGTTGTATCACTTTGTTTATGCAGCCACACCTTGCTGTCCCACTACACACTTACTGAAAGATTTTTTTTACTTATTGCAGTGTGTTCAAAATTAGAATATATTTCCTGTTCTTTTAAAAGGCTGCTAGTGTTTACAGCAGCATCTTGAATGTGAAATTTAACAAAACAGTAGATGATAACTTCTAAAGAAAACACTGCGTTGTTGCATGTGATTTGAAAATGAAAAGAAAACTGCATGGAGGTTGTGTGAGTCACAGCAAATTGGGCTGTTGCTACAGCTGCTTAAACAATCAAAAATTAAATGACCAAAACTGCATCATTAAAGGACCACTACAGTGCAAGGAAAACAAACTTGTTTTCCTGGCTCTATAGGGTCTTTGGGTCCACCCCCACCCTCTGGATCCCCCTGCCGCCGGGCTAAAGATGAAGGAAGGGGTTAAATTCTTACCTTTCTCTAGCTCCGGGCTCCTTCTGCACTGGGGACTCTCCTCCATCTTTTGACGTCATCCGCTGCATGCGCGGCAAAAGCTGCGTGCGCAGTCAGTCCATAGGAAAGCACTTTTCAATGCTTTCCTATGGACGCTGGTGTCTTCTCTCTGTGAAAATCTCAGTGAGAAGCGCGGAAGCGCCTCTAGTGGCTGTCAATGAGACAGCCACTAGAGGCTGGATTAACCCTAATGTAAACCTAGCAGTTTCTCTGAAACTGCTATGATTACAGCAGGCAGGGTTAACCCTAGATGGACCTGGCACCCAGACCACTTCATTGAGCTGAAGTGGTCTGGGTGCCTATAGTGGTCCTTTAAGCTGAATATGTTTTTGGTGATTAGTGTCTCTTCAATAGCTACTGACCCTATAGATTTATCTGTTCAGAATAAATGGAATGGCTTCTTGACTTGATCAAATCTGCAACGTCACAAGCAGACCAGGCAGCTATAGTGTAGTTAAGTACACTACTGCAGCACAGTCAAGGAGTATACAGCAAGTCATTGCTGCACCTGAGAATTCCCAAGATGTTGTCATTTGCTGAAGCATGACTGCTTATATTAATGAACATATTCCTGTAATACTTCTAACTGCCAATGATATTATATATTTATATAGTTTTGCTTGTTTTTTTTCCCCTCCTTTTCGTAGGGTCAGTTATATGTTGTTGGAGGATCTAATGGGCAGTCAGATGATCTCAGCTGTGGAGAAAAATTTGATTTTAAAACTAACATGTGGACTCCTGTTCCTGAACTCAGAACAAACAGATGTAATGCAGGTAGATGAACAATATTATGGTATCAAACTCCAAACCTCCTCATATTTAAAACCCAGTGATCGAAGTTAGAGACACTACAAGCTGGAAGTGACCCATTATTTTTATAATGCATTACGAAATATGCAAAGCTAGTTAATGCTAAATTGTTTTGTGAATATCCCCTCACATTACATCCCCATTAGGCTTGATAGTTTGCTGATTTTCATGATTTAACTTTGCATATCAGGAGCCTCTCATTCTTGTCTAGGGAGTTTGAACTTTTGGACGTGTAGGAGGAGAGATTGACCAGCTCTCTGGTTGATAGTATATGTACTTGGGTTACCTTCTTTCTATTATAAGAGCTGTTAGCTGAACTAAAACGTCTAGAAAGTTTTGCTGTGCTTCCTAGGTGTCTCGTAGAACTGTTGTAGGACTAACTGCAGGTTTTTAGACCAAAATAGCAGATTTGAAAAGTAACTGGGAAATTTTCAGCCTTAAATGTTCAGTCTTTTTGTAATTCCTGGCTTAAGGGAAAAACCTAATTATATTTTTATTGGTGACATTCTAAAATGCTTGCGTGAATGTTAATTCTTACTATTTATTGCTTGGTGAAAGTCTTTAGTGTGTGTATGTATGTATGTATTTTTTTTTTTTTTTACCCCATCTTATTCAATTACAAGAAATATATTGAATATCTTGGAAGGTTGCTTTTGTTCCAGGCTCGCTGATCTACAGAGAGCTAGAAATGTATAATACAAGTGGTTACCCCCACACTGAAACACTTAAAGTGCTTGACTCATCTAAACTTACATTAGTGACCAGGTGAAAATGATTAATCTTGTTGCATAGTTTAAAACTTTCATGGAATGAAAAATGGACTGTGCTACTTTAAAGATATTTAATGTTGCTGGTGTGCATAGTATTCATTGACACATCCTTTTCCTCTTGTGTTTTTTTTTTTTTTTTTGTAGGAGTATGTGCATTAAATGGCAAGTTGTATATTATTGGAGGCTCTGACCCCTACGGTCAAAAAGGTCTTAAAAACAGTGATGTATTTGAACCAGTAACAAGGACGTGGACAAGTTGTGCCCAGCTAAATATTCGTAAGTACCTGTTACCACAATCCCTAACCTTCTTGGTTCTGGAGTCCATTGAGTGCCTATTATATAACCCTTTATTCCATCTCAATCTTCCAGGGCGACACCAGTCAGCAGTTTGTGAACTTGGCAATTACATGTATATCATTGGAGGAGCAGAATCCTGGAATTGCCTCAATTCCGTGGAGCGGTATAATCCTGAAAATGACACCTGGACCTTGGTAGCACCTATGAATGTCGCCCGACGTGGAGCAGGAGTTGCAGTTTATGATGGTAAGTTGTCCATGTGGCCTAAAAGATAACTATCTCCTCCCCCACGCTACAATTCCCTGGAGACTTTGGTGCTCAAGTATCATGAAATGTACCTTTTTAGCAGGGGAGTGTCTGGCTTCTTGATCACACTTGCTGTAGATCTGTACAGAAGGTGTTTTTTTTTTTTTTTTTAAACATTTTTTTATTTTTTTTGTGTGTGTTTGCTCTTTGAATTAAGACGCTGGATAATTTTATTGAATTAAAAAAAAATTTAAATTTTCTAATCCTTTCTATACAGAGTTATATGTACTTTTCCTGTTTAACCAATTTTCAAGCTATTCGATCTGTCTAATCTAACCTCTAAAATGTGACTTCTTACAAATCTATAATATGTACAGGTGTAATTCGTGCAGTTTGTATCACTGCTTAAAGTGGCACTGTCACGCCATACTCTCCTTTCTCATGTTATTTCTCTTAGAATATTTTCTTTCTGATCTAGTTTTCTTTAAAAACTATAACAAAATTTGGACTATTTTGTCTATGTATTTTTCCTACACTGGGCTTTTTTTGACCAAAGGTGAAACTTAAGTCTGCTCGATTTTTCCTGTGTAGAGGAGAAGGGTGAGTACTTTCTCTGACACATGAAAGGGAGCTTGCTTAAACTCTTAATTTGGTCAACAAAAAGGTCAGAGTAAGAAAAATACAAAAGGCAAAGTAGTCCCTAATTTAAAAACAAATTTTTTTTAATGTTTTAAAGAAAACTAGATCAGAAAAGAGAGAATGTGAGAAAGTGGTTGACGTGGCATTGCCACGTATTAAATACCACCAATTATTAAAACCAGTCAAAATTTGTCATTAAAGATGTAACACTTTGTCTTGTTTCCAACAGGAAAGCTGTTTGTAGTGGGTGGATTTGACGGTTCTCGTGCTCTAAACTGCGTTGAAACATACAATCCAGCCAAAAATGAATGGAAAATGATCGGAAGCATGACATCGTCAAGGAGTAATGCCGGTGTTGTGGCAGTGGGAGACAGCATATTTGCCGTTGGTGGTTTTGATGGAAATGAATTCTTAAACACAATTGAGGTCTACAATCCTGTGTCAAATGAGTGGAGCCCATTTACTAAAACTTGCAAATTGTAGCTAAAGCCTTTTGTTTTGTCTTTTTATTTTTGTCCCATCCCCCTTAATGAATTCTTGGCGTGTATAATCAGCTTGTGCTGAAATTACTGTTTGCTGCACCAGCAACGCAGATCTTTTTGCATACTGTATATTTTTGAGATGTTGTAAATAATTTTTCTTGTTTCAGTAACTTTGTAGCAAAGTCCTTGAGGTATTCTATTAAATATTGCAATCTTCACCAAATACCACTCAGTAATGTAGATGATTCAGATTGATCATGTTTCACTTCAACAATTGATCAATTCCAAAACATTTAAACGTATTTTTTACCTGTATGGAAGTGGTATTTGTGAGTCCTTTTTCCGGTAAATAAAATGTTTTCAGAGCCTTATTGGTGTTAAAATACGGTAACTTCTTTTTATTATTTAAAAAACAAAAAGTGCATATATGCCAAAACCATGAAAACTTTCAGATTGCCTTTTTAGTACAATTTTTTTATAAAACCCTTATATTGGCAAACACCTTATTGGCATTTAATAAGATATGCTGTATGTCTCCTGAAGACCTTCATCAAAATGTATAATCCTTTTTCATCTCATGATTCAAATGAACTGTATTCATTATGTTTGATTAATGGAAGTCAAACAACTATAAGTTCTTATTAACATCTTTACGCTTATTTTAAAAAGCAGTGAAATTTGTGTCTGGTCTTTCACGTATATGTCTGTTAATGTAACACTGCAAGTGGTCATGAACAGCAGTTAATTATTTAGTCATTTAGATCGTAGAACTGCAAATTCACATTTTGAGTGACTTATTTTGTCTTGAGAAGCCAGGCATTTTCTTTGTGCGCTGTAAGTTGATACCAGAATCAAATGTTTTAACATTTTAAACCATCAATAAATAGTTGGATTTTTTTTTTTAATCGCTATTCTTAAATAAAATTTGTAAGCACAATTCCTAAATAAAATTGGCTGATCACAAACTACCTTGTTTTTTTTAATTACTTCTTCTTCTAATTTTACAGCAGTAGCATGATTTTTTTTTTAATCAATTTGAATTTAACCTCCTGTTGTCGGTTTTTACTTTATTGCATTGTTTAACTTACTTATTTGGGAAAGCAGTGGTTGATATCACACACCCACACACCATTGTTATGAAAGAGAAATATCACTTTTGGTTGCTCATTATCTGGGTGAAGATAAATAGTATAAATTTTTAAAGAAACACTAAAATATTAAGTGATATAAAAGGCGCTCTTATAAAGTGAATTAGTGACTTGATTATCAAGGGCAAATATTAGAAACAATATTGGGCACTACAGCTAGTAAGTAGCTAGCACATTTCTTTTGTTATTGCACATCCGTCACTGAATAGCACAAGCGTAACACATGACACCTATTTCCATTAGTGGGGATTATACCACTCTACGCTGTTGTAACCGGAACTTGTTTGAAGCACTGAATCACGTGTTGTGTAATTTCACTTACTGAAAAATACTGCACCATCACTTCTTTTCTCTGATTTTTCACATGTACCCATGGCAAAAAAAAATTAAAGCTCTAGAAGAAGAATCATTTTGTGAAAATTTAACATTTTGCACGGAGTCCACAGGACTCTCTCATAACTTTCTGTACAAATATAATATCCACTTGTTAGTTGCTTTCAGTTAATTTCTGTGCTATTAAGGGTGTTTTACTGCCAAAGGTAATCTGTCTGATTAGCTCTTGTGTATATTGTTTACTACAAAGTTATCTGGGCTGCATTTCCCACAAGACCACTGAGGCCTTGGGGTGCTACTGCAGGTAAAATTTTATCTTCATGGGACAGCCCATTCTCCTGCTATGGGGCCCCTACACTGTATTAAGAGAGGCGGCAGCTTGTAGACCTGGTGGCACAGCATGCTGTACAAACTGATCTTACTTCTTGCTGCATTCCTGCAGCATCCCACTTTAGGTCCTATAACCGCAGCTCCAGGCTCATGTAGGGTCTGACTTGCCATAAGGACACAGAGGGATTGGAGCGGTAGGTAGGAGAGGGGTGAAATGGCCAGTGGGAAGATACAATGATCTCTCTCACCTTCCAGACTATTCTACCATGGGGTGCAGACTGCAACATCTCCTACTGGACCACCAAGGATCAGGATTCTACTCTCCCTTGCTCGTGGTAAACCTCAGGGGGAAGAAACTTCAGGTTGTTTATTTAAAAATATCCCCTTCCCCATGTCCCCTGCTATCATACTTATCCCACCCACTCAGGGTTGCTGCTCAATTGAGTCAGCGCAGACTCTTCCCCTCTATTTTTATCCCACCCACTGTAGGCATCATCATGTCCGCACTGTAACCCTTATACCACCCACTGTAGGCATTATGTCCTTATTGTTGCCCCATCGCCTCCTACTACATACTACGTCCATAATTCCCCCTCTTACACATACACTACAGTTATCAAAAAAAACAATAAAATTGTGGAAGCGTATTTTGCATATGTACATGTATATACCCCTGTATATTAATATGTATTCAGTGACATAACTACCATGGTCACAGGGGTCATCACTCCATGGGGCTCGGCCACCGCTACGATCCTTGCAATCGCGAGGAACCATAATTTTAGGAACGGTGCATGGCCACACTGTCTCATCAACTCCAGACCCCAGTCCTTCCATGAAAGGGAGGGAATGAGGTACATAGAGGGGCCTTGGTGGGAGGGAATGAGGCACGTGAAGGGGCTGTGGGGGAAGGTAATGAGGCACATATTGGGGGGAAGGAGAGGATGAGACACATGGAGGGCATGATACACAAGGAGGGGGAGGGAATGAGAAACGGTGTAAATAAGATGCATGGAGGGGATGGGGAGAGGGAATAATACATAGAGGTGCTGAGAGGCAGGAGGGAATGAGACACATGGAGGGGTGGGGGGTAAATGATACACCTAGAAGGTGTAAATGAGAGGCATGGAGGGATTGGGGCCTGGAGTGGATGAGACACTTATCCATATGGCTCATCCACTCCAAGAAGAAGGGGGGGAGAGAAATGAGTCCCGTAGAAAGACCTGGGTGGGAGGAAATAATACATGTGGGGGAAGGGAGTGAGGCACATGGAGGTGGTGAGGGGGATGATACACATATATGGACTGTGGGGGGGGAGAAGGGATGACACACATGTAGTGGCATAGGGAGTGAATGGCCACATCACAGGGCTGTGGGGGGAGGGAATAATGCACATGGAGGCAGTGGTGTATTTTGGAATTGTGCTGCCCTAGGCACGACTAAATTTGCCTCACCAATTTATGTCAGGGTCACTTTTTTGACTGACATACACTCACTGACATATACACCGTTATGGGCACACACACTGTTTAACCATACACACTTTCACTGAGACACACTGACACATCCACTCACTGACAGACGCATACTCTCAGATTCACATACACTGACAAGACACAGAAACCCATATCCTCACTGATTTGACACACTCTGACACACACACACACATCCACTCACTCAGACACATACTGACAGCTACATGCACTCACTCACAGACACACACACACACATTGACAGACACAAACACATTCACTGACAGGCATATATACACACACACACACAATGACAGACACAAACACACATTCACTGACAGGCATACACACACACACACACACACACACACTGACAGACACAAACATACACGCACACATTTTCTCATACACTCACAAATTATTAATATATTTTTTTTTAAATTTAAATCCACCCAGCCTCCCTCCCTTTGGGAGAGCTGGAGTGAATGCTGTCCCTGACAGTTGCTGGGCTGGCTCGGCAGGCTCCTTGTTGGCTCCTGCTGGCTAGGCTGGCTCTAATGGGACTGTTGGGGCTGCTGACACTCAATGGAGGCGGCGAGGGAACTGAGCTCTTATTGCTCAGCTCCCTCTGCACTGCTTAGTGATGCTGGGGCCAGAGTGACATCATATTCTGGCTTCCAGCATCACAGAAGGGAGTGCAAGAGAGCAAGAGCAGCAGAGGACAACACTCTCTCACCACACATAAAATATCAGTAGTTTAACACCATGGGGAGGGGGGCTAAGGTAGCCAGCCAGCTAGCTCTTGGGCCCGCCAGGACACAAGGCATTTGCCTGGGTGCTTGGGGTGGTGTATTTTGCCACCCTCCTGAAAGTGCCGCCCTAGGCAAATGCCTTTTTTGTCTTGTGGTAAATACAGCCCTGCATGGAGGGGCTGGAGGTAAAGGGTTGTCGTTAATTTGGTATTACTCCTTGACAGTTTAATAGACTCCCCTACAGCACCACACTTCCCAAATATCCCTATTAAGGAGGGACAGTCCTAATTTTGTACGCAAATCCCTCTGCCCCTCTTTTCCTCCTAATTTCCTTTTCTAACAGAGCTCCATAGGAATAATTCTCATAGTAAAATGTATTTAATCTGCAATAATTGTATTTAGAAAACAGTTTATGTAAATTAGATATATTGTTCATGTTTTAAATTACAGTTTAGTTGCATGAATTGAATTGTCATTTGTTAAGGGAACACTATAGGGTCGGGAACACAAACATGTATTCCTGACCCTATAATGTTTAACCCCTTAAGGACCAAACTTTTGGAATAAAAGGGAATCATGACATGTCACGTGTCCTTAAGGAGTTAATCCACCATTTAGGTGGCTTGCACCCCATTAGAAAATATTAAAACTCACCTTATTTCCAGTGCTGGTCCTGTCCCTGTTCCACCTCATGTTGACATAATCTGAATTTCAGATTTTTAGCCACTCATGCTTTTCCATAGGAAAAGCATGGGAAGGGCTGAAATCGGCAAGGAGGCAGGATGGGGCCGGGCCAAACACAGTTTTTGGCCAATCCCATGCAAAACGGCAGTGCTGCTTACTGTGCGGCACTGTCCCAGGAAGTCCCTAGGGGACAATGTAAACACTGACTTTTCTCTGAAAAGGCAGTTTTGCATGAAAATTCCTTAAAGGAATGATTATACTCATCAGAACAACTACATTAAGCTGTAGGTATTCTGGTAACTATAGTGTCCCTTTAAAGGACCACTATAGTGCCAGGAAAACATACTCGTTTTCCTGGCACTATAGTGTCCTGAGGGTGCCCCCACCCTCAGGGATCCCCTCCCGCCCAGCTCTTTTTCCAGCGCTGGGCAGAGAGCTCTCCTCCTCTGTTCCGCCCTGTCGGCTGAATGCGCACGCGCGGCAAGAGCTGCGCGCGCATTCAGCCGGTCGCATAGGAAAGCATTTACAATGCTTTCCTATGGACGCTGGCGTGCTCTCACTGTGAAAATCACAGTGAGAAGCACGCAAGCGCCTCTAGTGGCCGTCAATGAGACAGCCACTAGAGGATTAGGGGGAAGGCTTAACCCATTAATAAACATAGCAGTTTCTCTGAAACTGCTATGTTTATTAAAAAATGGGTTAACCCTAGCTGGACCAGGCACCCAGACCACTTCATTAAGCTGAAGTGGTCTGGGTGCCTAGAGTGGTCCTTTAAGTCACCTAAAAATGCTCAGAACAGTCCTCCCTTTCACACTTTAAATTAAAGTCTTCATCTTTGTCCATTCCAGATGTTGGAAGTTATGCAGCAACATATAAATTCTGCATACAAGCTTGACTCTAACTGAGCTGCCTAACAGCATGAAGTATAAAACATGGTGGAGTTGGTAATCCTCCCCGCAGGACAAAGGTGGTAAAACCACAGCCTAGTTAAGACCTACACTTTCCAATATCATGTGATCATGCGTCTCACGTGACTCGCTGACACGTGTTTCAAGCCGTATAGGAAGTGCTTGGTAGAGTTTGTGAGATGCGGCTCCTCCTCATGCTGTGTAGGACTGTATGCAGGTAGGTGTTGCAATAGCTGTCAGCACTATCACAGCTCCAACTGTAAAGACATGATACAGAACTAGGAGTCATCTGTACTTACAGCAGGAAGGTAGGTGTCCATGGAACTAGTCTGTAGGCCCTGGAATTTCATGTAATTTTAAGAGTAATCCTACAGCAACCAGAGTGATCTGCGATGGCTTACCTGCCCTTTAATATGGATTGATTTATCTAGAGTTATTCAGAGTTTTGACTTTAGTAAATTGTCCTGTTTCTAGTGGTTTTATATGGTTCCTCATCTAATTGATTTTTATTTATTTTTTTAGAAGAATGAGCATTGAGTGTGTGTGTGTTTGTGTATATATATATATATATATATAATATATATATATATATATATATATATATATATATATGTGTGTGTGTGTGTGTGTTCTGCTGTAAACACATTCATTTGGAATTTGGGACTTACTCTTACAACTTCAGGCAACTTTAAGGGTGCATTATAAGAAGTGGGTGTATGTATTTGTGTACATTTAAAGCATAGCTGTCAAAATAGCGCAATGAAAATATTGACATGCCATAATGATCTAGTAATGTAGGGTTTTAACAACGCAGCAGAGTGAAAGCATCAAAATGATTTAATTAGTTAGGCTACTAAGGGGTACAATTAGTTTTGATGGGAGGTTAAGTGGCGCTTATGTCGTGGCATCACTTTTAGTCATGGTAATGTAAAGCAGCTGTAACACCAAATCCTCTCTCCTTTCCCCCCTCCCCCCCCAAAAAAAATGAGTATTTCAGGAAGATTAAAATATTTGTTAACTGCTCATAAAGACTGTGTTGGAAATTCCAACCTAGTCCAAAAGAGAAAACATTTTCTACGCCTGACAAAAGGCGGGACATTTTTTTTTGTCAAGCCCTCATTTGTCACTAGTGATGACTGAGGGGAAAAAAGCTCTTTATATGGAGGATCCTGCGTTCTGCAGCTTGTGTGGATATCAGTGTTGTACTCTTGCACATGTAGATGAAGCACCAGGAGTCGAAAAAGACCTAGAAGTAGAAGATGGCGGTGCCCACGAAGGACAGGTTAGTCTGCCCCAGTGGCCACCGGAATACAATCAGATCAATGATCATCATCATCTCGCGGCTTTAAAAAATATGCAAAGACCCCAGTATGTGAACTTTTAAACGTGTTTTTAAAGGGAGTATATTTGGAAAGTTATAGATATGAGGCATTGTACTGTATTTATTATCTGGATTAAATGTCAACATATTCGGCAGCACTGCAAACCTAAATTACAATCTGTTTGTTAAAATATGACTGCCCAATGTTTATTGATCGCTCCTTTTGCAGTTTTTTGAAGATATGCTCTGCCATCATTCTGAGATCAGAGTTTAATTGTTTGATGCACTTAATCATGTGAGTGCAAGAGGGGGCACACAATTTAAAAACAAACTGCACTCAGCTAAACTTTTCAGCTGATGTGCCAATTGTTTTCAAGGAAGCAAGGTCATTGTGGTGAAACACAGTGAGCAATTCTAGTTACACCACTGCATTAGCCAATCATACTGATTTCCAGTACAAGAATCTTCACTAAACTTGGATATTTAGCAATTTAAAACCAATAATATAATCAAGACCGAAGTAGCCAAGTTGTTCCAAACCAGCTATTTTAGCTTTAATTTGCCATTCTATTTCAATTTGCTAAAATTTGGAGCTTAATGAATAACCCTGATAGTCAGAAAAGCAGTGGTAAGTGCTAACAACCCGTGTGTCTCCCACACATGAGATAGATTACAAAAAAAAGAGAGTCCATGAGAAAGTTTCTCTCTTTTTCAATATGTAGGGAGCCTTCTTGGTACATTACCTTATTGGTACATACGTTATGGCAACTGATTTAGAGTAATAATGTCTCAAATCTGTTCCCTTTATCTCTACTTCGTCTGCAGCCCCCCTCTCCTCTTCCTCAATCCTAGGCATGCTGATGTCACTGTATGCTTAGGTATGTGAGCAGGGAAGTGAGTATCCCGCCTCTCTGCAGGGGGCATCAAACTATGAAATTACACTTCTCTGGGGGATAGCAGTAGAGTACTATAACCACTTCAATAAAATTAAGTTGTTATAGTGCCTACAGTGCTTACAGCCACCTCTTGACGTATCCCCTGACTTTGGTGCTTGTACCCTCTTTGTACGCATAACACAGCTTGAGAAACTAGGAGATAGAGGACCTCACTGTTTGGCAGAGAGTGCTCTGTTAATGCTCTTAAATGAAATAATAGGACTTCTTAGCTCACTGAAGCTAACCAGCATGAAGCAGGCTGTGGAGCCCAGTTGCCTTGTGGAACGTGGTTACATTTGCTGAAACTCCTCTGCTGCTGGAATTGTAACTCCACCTATGGCAGCATCATTGGAGTGTCATTAGCCAAGTATGTAAATTCTGTGCATATTCCTATATACAGAATTGCATTCATTGGCTGAGAATGGTCAGGCGACTCTCTCAGCCATTGAATCTGCAAGGTATCCGCATCTGGCTTATGCAGCAACACAGGAGACCTGGTGCCAGCAGAGAACCAAATAAGAGGTCTGACTTGTGCTAAATGGTTTGTCTGATTACTGGGAACGATAACCAGTACAACGTGCTGTAGTGGTTATGGTGCCAAGAGTGCCGTGGCACCTCCCCAAACGGGAGTTTTGAGTTCTTAAATGCTATCCGTCAGTGTCGCTTCTAATCTCCACTATATTGGAATCGCCATTTGGACACAATTTTTTTTTTTTGTGTGCATGCTGCTGTCCTTTCCATTCCCAGAGGTCACATTGCAGATTGTTTTTTTTTTTTTTTTGCATGGATGAGTAACGTTTACAACTGGCTAGAAGCTTAGATCTCAACATTTTCAGACCCATCCTCATGTTACATTATGTGCTAGGAGCATTATGACATAACATGATTTATTTAGCCTCTTGACATACAGGGGTTGAAATCAGTACATTTTCAATGATACTTCACCTTTGCCGTTCACTATTATTTCTAAATCTGACTCTGTAGCAGCTAAATTCGCCACTTATGAAAACATCTTATTGTGACTTCGGAGGTCGACTGAAACATTACCATATACTGACTTTGTTAGCTGTGTTTTTTTGGATGTGATATTATGGTTTAATCAAAAACTTGAACTTGCCGACGTGAGATGTTATTTATCATGCTAGCAGTTGCCGTTTGTTAACATTTGAAACAAATGATTGCTGTTGACAGTGTCAGTCGAAGACTGTTTAGCACTTTGTCATTTGTGCATTGTGATTTGTGACGGGACAGGCTGACAGTATGTGCTAATTGTTGCAATTAACGCTTGGAAATGGATAGCAGAAATGGATGTGATCCTTTGTCGCTAGCATTTTCTTTTATTCTCTAGGAATAAAAGAAAATGTTAAAAACTAACAAACAAAAAATAAACACACAAAAACCTAATAGCTCCCAAAAGCATTTTCCGTTGAAGGTTTGCTTTGTAACACCTTTATGACAAAGTTTAGTGAGAGCACTTTTACTTTAATCCCTCATTACAGATGACATGGAAGCATGGTTATGAAAGTCACAGTCAGTCTTTCCCAAATGCATTGATTGTAACAACTGAATTTTAAAAATTAAATTGTTTTGCTTTTTTTTTTAACACAGGAAAAGCAGTTCTTTTAATCTGAAAGGCGATCCAGTTCAACAACAGTTAAATAGGTTCACCTGGTCATTTGCAGCAAGGTGAGCAGTAAAATTGCTTAAGTGTTATCTTTACGGCCTCGGATGATAGATTTTTGTAGTTTAAATGTTTTTTTTGTTCTTTTTAATAAATTGTTTTAAAGGACCACTCCACACCCCAAGATTTCTATGAACCAGGGAACTCCCCTCTGTCTGTCACTCAAAAAGCCAGGGAGGATTCCTTCCTACTTCCGTTAGCTTCCCTGAGCTAATGGAAGTGGCAGGCAAGCTCTACTTAAGTGTGCCTGCCTCCCTCCCTCACAGACCTCAGATCAACTCGACAGCTTCATCCCTGCAACCGGGTGCGCACATGTGCACGATTTGATATACGTGCACTCAACATTGTGCACGAGCCGGTGTTCACGTGGGGACCAAGTCAGAGGTTTCTCAATGAGAAGCCTCTGGTTATTTCCTTGTGAAGAGGCTGCAGTCATAAGAAATGCAGCTTTTGTAATCTATTTTAAACTATATTCCCAATGAATACATACATGACAATATGCATGTATTTATTCCTTGAGGGTATATCTACTAAACTGTGGGCTGTTTTGGTGGGGGGTTTGGAAGTGTGGAGTGGTCCTTTAATTAGAACACAGTTTATTAAAATGTTTGTAACGCTTTCAAGAGTGCCGTTCTGTATGCTGGTTTATAATCCGTGCTATAGTAATGCTTCTAGCAGTACGGTCCATGTATTTGGTGCAGTAGTATTGCAAATGTGTTAGGCTTGTTCCGGTTTATTAAACAGGCAGAAGATGTCACTATACCTGGATTTTGCATGGTTCAGGCCAAAATTGTTTGATAAACGTTCCCTATCAGCGAATTTGACCTACATTTTGCAACAATCCCAAATCAAGACAGCTGATTCGGCAGAGAGAAATACACTTCAAAACTGTGCAAATAAGTTTAAAACAAAATACCTTTCATTTCTTTGTTTTCAAATTCTCGTCTGGGACTGTACAGCAGGGTGAAGGCACAGAAACCATGACAAGTGCATATTTGCAATAGTATGATGATTTTGTAACCTGAAACAGCCACATATAACACAATTTTTTCAACTGCCTTGTCAATTCTACCTTGTGAATAATAATTATTATTATTATTATTGGTATTTATATAGCGCCAACTAATTCCGCTGCACTATTTATTTTTACAATAAATGAGACAATTACACAGTAACACGGGAACAATAGGTAGATGAGGGCCCTGCTCAAACAAGCTTACAGTCTAGAGGAGGTGGGGTATAAAAACACAACAGGGCAGCAAGGGTGACAGCCACCAAACAAAGTGGAAAAGTAGCTGAACTGGAGGTGCGAGTGGAGTGTGGCTCTTTAGGAGAGCAAGAGATATTGAGAGACTAGTTTGGGTCTAGCCAGGAGACGTGCCAAACATCAATATAGTCAAATCACTACACATATCACAGTACTTCTCTAAAAATAGACAGTCATGCCCAAGGCCAGTAGTCTGCTTGAATACTTGGCATCATATTACAAATTATCACAGGAACCAGGCTTGTTATAGGACATTCCTTGCCACTCAACTTATTTTTATTCAAGAATGCCCAATAGGATTGACAGTTTGTTTCTCCCCCCCCTCCTTTTTTTTGTAATCTACAAATTCCTTGCTTCATAGCACAGTTACTTCAGAGATGTTACCAAATTAAACAATTTCAGTGCTGTTCATTGCATGTGAGAGAAACATTGGTGGGCTTGATATTGTTGTGGCATTGGGTCATACATACTATAGGTACCCAGACCACACTGAAGTGGTCTGGGTACAGTGTCTATTTTACCTTTAGTCATGCAATGTAAAACATTACAGTTTTAGAAAAACTGCAATGTTTATGTGGCAGAACTAAGACCGCAACTAGTGGCTCTTCTGGAATGTTACCAGACTTTTGGTCCAGTAACTGACGCTGGATGTCCTCACAGTTTGCATGAGGACCTCCAGCGTCAGCTATATTTCCATAGGGGAAATAATTCCACGCATGCGCATTAGTGACCCCATCGTCGAGCGTCGGAAGAGGCGGAGCCGCAACACAGCGCTAAGGGACTTTGGTGCTGGGATCGGGTAAGTAAATAAAATCAGGCAGAGAGAACTGTAGTATCCCTTTAATGATTTAGCGTTCTAATGATATGTCTATATATTGCCACCCACTTATTGTTGCTGAGCAGGTTTATGACATAATGCTTATTATGATAATTATTAGGTGTTTGGATATCTGAATCATTTAATACTTTTCAATGGAAAAGCAGTTTAATTGTTCCAGGAAACAACTGCATCGTGAATATGCTGATATACATACCAATTAGTGTTTTTTACAATTTTCTTTTACAATGTTATTAATATGCTATTTAGACTACAATATTAGGTTTTTGCAGAGTCTTCTTGAATTAAGTGTGTGATATGATGATAGGGCAATGTGTGTTCCAGGAAAGAATGAAACACTTGAAGGAACATTTCAACATATTGTTTTTTTTCCTCTTTCCTTACTTTTTTTTTTGTTTTGTTTTTTGTAGAATGGGTAACTTTTTATCTTCCAGCGCACCACAATCTGATATTATAAAGATGGTTAAGGTAAGACCAATAAAGGCCTGTGTATACATTGTAAAGATCTGCACTACCTGTTTTACAACCACCACCAGCTCTGCTTGAAGGGACAAGCCAAACAAATTACATGCAGATTAATGCTTAACAGTTGTATTTTTCATTCTCTTGACATTTTTTGTAGTGCAGAATGAGACATACAGGCTTGCAAATTCAGCGTAACAGGATTATATATGACAAGAGGAACAGGAAACCTCTAGAATACTGCATGTTTTATAATGTATCGATGGGCTGCAAGAGAAAAGCCCATGCTATAAATCTGACTTTATATATATATATATATATATATATATATATATATATATATACTCTCTACTTTAATTTTGCAACAGCCTTGTCAATTTCACTATGTGAAAGGATATTGAGAGACAAGTTTGGGTCAAGCCAGGAGACATGCAAAATATGAATATAGTCAAATTACTACACATATCACAGTACGTCTCTAAAAATACACAGTCATGCCCAAGGCTTACTTTAAGATAATTAGACAGCTGAAAAGAAAACTTGGTGGGCTCCTGAGTCTTTAAGGTTACTTCAAATGCCCATAATGACTTTTTTTTCACAGTTAGTGAGTGAAAAATAAAAATAATAAAGGGACAGCAGTAAAATTCTTAAAAGGAAAAAAAACTACAGTTAAAAACCGGGCATGTGGTGAGGTGCTGCCAGACTCCCAGTACTCCCACTTTTGGTGGGCAGAACACAGAATCACATCTTGTTGCCATGATAGTTATCTACCCCCACTCCCCTATTTGTCATTCTTTATATAATGTATATTGTGTTAGGATTCACAAAGTGTGAACAGTTCTTGAGCACTGTGGACCATGTTTTCATTAAGGATATCTCTGTATTTTGCTGCGTTTAACTTTCCCTCAACACTGACCAGTCTCCCTGCCCCTGACGCTGTACATCACCCAAAAAGCATGATGCCACCTCCAACATACTTTACCATTGGAAGGTATTGCGCAGATGATGGCTGGTACCTCGATTCCTCAAGGCATGACACTTTGAAGGCAATACACTTAAATCTTCATTTCATCAGCTAAAAGAATCTTGTTTCTGACAGTTTTTTGTTTGTTTGTTTTTGTGCAAATTCCTAGCAGGCTTTATAATTTGCAGTAAGGGGAGGCTTCTATTGAGTCAGTCTGCTATACAGGCTAGACCAGTGGAATATTTCAGTGATTGTTGTCCATCTCCACACATGATATCTGAAGCTCACCAAGGGAGACTATCTGGGTACTGTCACCCATTTTACCAAAGCCTTTCTTCCCTGGTTGCTTGGTTTGGCTGGGTGGCTAGCAGTAGTAAGAGTCCTAGTTGTTCCAAACTTATTACATTTAAGAATTACAAAGGCCACTGTGCTGTTGGGAACCTTAAATGCAGCCAGCATTTTTTTGTAGTCCTCCTCAGATCGTGTCATAGCAAAAGTTCTTAATATTTATGTTAATGTATACAAGGTTATTCTTTTTAATAGCTGAACATCCAGAGATACCTGCACTTGTGTGCATGGTGCTAGCTCTACACCCCTCTTGCACACAAAACTGAACTCTGTTAAGAATTTTAATATACAGTGAGGGAAAAAAGTATTTGATTCCCTGCTGATTTTGAACGTTTACCCACTGACAAAAAAAATGATCAGTCTATAATTTTAATGGTAGGTGTATTTTAACAGTGAGAGAATGAATAATAAAAAAAATCAGAAAAACGCATGTCAAAAATGTTATAAATTGATTTGCATGTCAATGAGTGAAATAAGTATTTGAACCCTTCGACTTAGTACTTGGTGGCAAAACCCTTGTTTGCCATCACAGAGGTCAGACGTTTCTTGTAGTTGGCCACCAGGTTTGCACACATCTCAGGAGGGATTTTGTCCCACTCCTCTTTGCAGATCCTTTCAAAGTCATTAAAGATTCGAGGCTGACGTTTGGCAACTAGAACCTTCAGCTCCCTCCACAGATTTTTCATGGGATTAAGGTCTGGAGACGGCTAGGTTACTCGAGGACCTTAATGTGCTTCTTCTTGAGCCACTGCTTTGTTGCCTTGGCTGTGTGTTTTGGGTCATTGTCATGCTGGAATACCCATCCACGACCCATATTCAATGCCCTGGCTAAGGGAAGGAGGTTCTCACCCAAGATTTGAGGGTACATGGCCCCATCCATTGTCCCTTTTGAAGCGGTGCATTTGTCCTGTCCCCTTAGCAAAAAACCACCCCCAAGCATAATGTTTCCACCTCCATGTTTGACATTGGGGATGGTGTTCTTGGGGTTATAGGCAGCATTCCTCCCCAAAATCGGCCAGTTGAGTTGATGCCAAAGAGCTCGATTTTGGTCTTATCTGACCACAACACTTTCACCCAGTTCTCCTCTGAATCATTCAGATGTTCAATGGCAAACTTCAGACAGGCCTGTACATGTGCTTTCTTAAGCAGGGGGACCTTGCGGGCGCTGCAGTATTTCAGTCCTTCATGGCATAGTGTGTTACCAGTTGTTTTATTGGTGACGATGGCCCCAGCTGCCTTGAGATTATTAACAAGATTCTCCCGTGTAGTTCTGGGCTGATTCCTCACCATTTTCATGATCATTGAAACTCCATGAGGTGAGATCTTATATGGAGCACCAGATCGAGGGAGACTGACTGTTATTTTGTGTTTCTTCCATTTGCGAATAATCTCACTATCTGTTGTCACCTTCTCACCAAGCTGCTTGGCGATGGTCTTGTAGCCCATTCCAGCTTTGTGTGGTCTACGATCTTGTCCCTGACATCCTTGGACAGCTCTTTAGTCTTGGCCATGATGGAAATTTTAGAATCTGATTGCTTCTGTGGACAGGTGCTCCTAATCTCAGCTCGTTACCTGTATAAAAGACACCTGGGAGACAGAAATCTTGCTGATTAATAGGGTATCAAATACTATATATCAAATATCAATTTCTAACTTTTTGACGTGAGTTTTTCTGGATTTTTTTTATTTTTGTTATTCTGTCTCTCACTGTTAAAATACACCTACCATTAAAATTAAAAACTGGTCATTTCTTTGTCAGTGCACAAACGTTCAAAATCAGCAGGGGATCAAGTACTTTTTTCCATCACTGGATAAGAGTAACTAAAGCTAGTATAATAAATTGTGGGCATCACCATAAATAGTGACTTAAATATGAACATCGACAAAAAAAAAAATATACAAAGTATTTGACCTCGAAAAAATCATAAATTGAATCAATCAAATAATATAAAATAACGTTTATAAAAAAACAGGAATAGTTAGGTGTTCGCAGCCTCTGGTACAAAATGCCTAAGCAGTAATATAATCTAGAGTTTATAAAAACAACTATATCAAATCCGTAAAACAACTAGTATAATGCCAAATATAATAAAACTAACAAATAATATCCAATAAACATCCCAAATATAGATGCTACAGTTTCCAAAAAACACAGATAATGCAGCATGTAGCAACTTAAAATAAGAAAACAAAATGATGTATATTACACTTCTAATTGATTTTTTGGTGTGCACATGTTTGTACAACTCTGAACTCTGTTCCAGACTTCCAAGAGTCCATTGTCTGCAAAACCTTCATCCATGATCAGCATGGTTTGCAAGACATTTGTCTCTCCTTCCTACACTAAAGCCATCACCGCCTCCCTTTTACCTTTTATTTAGAAAAAAACACTTTCTCCTCCTTTCCTACTCCATCCTCTCTACTGGCTCGTAGCGAGCACATGCACTCTGAGCCGGCTTAATGGTCCAATCAAAGGCTTCTTTGTGATAAGTTGTGTTGAAAGCAACCACATGATCTTTGCCTGGTGCTGAATGTTAAATAAGTATTTGCTTTGTTTTATTGTAATTTTAGAGTGTGGGTGGGTGGATGGAACCAACCTAAAGAATAATGCCCTTTAAGAGGGGGGGGATAAAGTGGTTGACTGTAATAGTGAGGAAACCAGAGTGAATGGAAGGGGGGGGGAAATAAAGTGGTTGACTGTAATAGTGAGTGTGACAGACTGCTGGCACTCCGACTGAGTACCTCCGCCAATTGATTCTCCTAGTGCTTGTCGAGGACTCCAAGCACTCCACCCGACACCATAAGCACTGCAGAACCCACTGCGCCGGGGTCTGCACTGCTTATGGTGTCGGGTGGAGTGCTTAGAGTCCTCGGCAAGCACTAGGAGCATCGATTGGCGGAGGTACTCGGTTGGAGTGCCAGTGGTCCGTCACAGTGAGGAAACAGGAGTGAATGGGGGGGGGGGCATAATCTAGATTCTGAGAGAAATGGATGCCGCACCTATCCTCAGGTCGGTGCCCTGCATTGATTTAAGAGATCCTCCACTGCTCAAATACAAACATATTAATTTACTGTTTAGTAATTACAACTTAAATAAAACATGGATGCATTTAATAATGTTTGTTTTTTTTTTCCTTTGGTGGTGTTTCTAAAAACAGCTTTCAAAAGTTGCAGTTCTCTTGTTTACTACTGTTGAAAGCCCTCCCCTTCATCCCCCGCCCAGACTTTCTGCGGCTGTCCAATCACAGACTTCCCAATGCAGCTCAATAAGAAGACTTTGCAAGGCAGGTGCTCTGGGCGATTGTTGCCGCTTGAGTTTAGCTCCACTGACCTAAATAAAGCAGGAAGTAACAGGGGGATACAACCAGTTTAGTTTAGAAAAGCGCCAATTTCTATTCAATGCTTCACACAAAGCATTTCAGCAAGCTAAAGTGATTTAGGGGTCCAGAGTGTTCTTTTAAATGCTTCACTGTTTCAGCAGCAGAGAAATCATGAGCTCTCTCCTGGTACTTTTGTGTTTACTGCGTAAAAGCCCTTTGATATTCATATACAAGCGAATATCTGTTTTATTGTTAAAACTACCTAATTTATTTTAGGAGTCGTCATCATGTCTTTAAATCATTTTGTTTGCTAAGAGAATTTACAAATAATTTTATATTCCAGAGACTTTTAAATGCTTTATTTAGCAACATTGAAAATGTAATCTACACTGAACAAAATTATAAACGCAACACTTTTGTTTTTGCCCCCATTTTTCATGAGCTGAGTTCAAAGATATAAGACTTTTTCTATGTACACAAAAGGCTTATTTCTCTAAAATATTCACAAATCTGTCTAAATCTGTGTTAGTGAACACTTCTCCTTTGCCGAGATAATCCATCCACTTCACAGGTGTGGCTTATCAAGATGCTGTTTAGACAGCATGATTTTTTCACACGTGTGCCTTAGGCTGGCTACAATAAGAGGCCAATCTAAAATGTGCAGTTTTATCACACAGCACAATGTCACAGATGTCACAAGTTTTGAGGGAGCGTTCAATTGGCATGCTGACTGCAGAAATGTCCTCCTACGCTGTTGCCCGTGAATTGAATGTTAATTTCTCTACCATAAGCCGTCTCCAAAGGCGTTTCTGAGAATTTGGCAGTACATCCAACCGGCCTCACAACCGCAGACCAGCCCAGAACCTCCACATCCAGCATCTTCCTCTCCAAGATCGTCTGAGACCAACCAACCGGACAGCTGCTGCAACAATCAGTTTGCATAACCAAAGAATTTCTGCACCAGCTGTCAGAAACTGTCTCAGAAAAGCTCATCTGCATGCTCGTTGTCCTCATCGGGGTCTCTACTTGACTACAGTTCGTCGTCGTAACCGACCTTGAGTGGGAAAATGCTCACATTTGATTGCGTCTGGCACTTTGGAGAGGTGCTCTCTTCACGGCCACGTGTTGCAAGGATCTGTACACCATTACTGGAAGCTGAAAACATCCCAGTTTCTTGCATGGCTAGCAAACTCACCGGAAACGTTACCCATTGAGCATGTTTGGGATGCTCTGGATCGGCGTATACGACAATGTGTTCCAGGTCCTGCCAATATCCAGCAACTTCGCACAGCTATTGAAGAGGAGTGAACCAATATTCCACAGGCCACAAACAACAACCTGATCACCATTTGCCTCACGCAGTGCAACACATCTCCTTCACATAGAGTTGGTCACACCAGATACTAACTGGTTTTCGGACTCCCCCAATACAGTAAAACTGCACATTTTAGAGTGGCCTTTTATTGTAGCCAGTCTAAGGCACACCTGTGCAATAATCATGCTGTCTAAACAGCATCTTGTTATGCCACACCTGTGAGGTGGCTGGATTGTCTCGGCAAAGGAGAAGTGCTCACTAACACAGATTTAGACAGATTTGTGTACAATATTTGAGATAAATAGGCATTTTGTGTACACAGAAAAAGTTTTAGAAACTTTTAATTCATATTTCATGTTTAGGACACAATCCTAGTCTTTTCTCAAGACCTCATGTGCATACCACAAACTCAAATATATAACATAAACAATGTAATCACTAAACTTACTCTGTAGACATATATCTATCTATCCATCTATCAATCATTTTATTTTTTTTATTCCAGGACACGGTCTCTGAGAATTGTGTGGTGATCTTTTCAAAGACTTCGTGTCCTTACTGCCAGATGGCAAAAGAAGCGTTCAATGATCTAAATATAAACTATAAAGTGGTAGAGTTGGACCAAGAAGAACATGGAAACCAAATTCAAACCATTCTTCATAAAATGACTGGAGCCAGAACTGTAAGTATCACATGCATATGTACGTAACAATTGATATTACGTTACTATGTGCGTAACATTGTGGCAATGGATTAAATGCCGCAGAGTTAATATGGCTACGAAATTAGATGGAGGGCCAGAAAGAGCACGTTGAGTTGCATATGTAATTTCATATAAAATAGATAATACAGGTAAGTGACAGTGTGATAAGGATTTGAAATGTAATTAAGATGATTAAAGGAACACTACAGTCACCTAAATTACTTTAGCTAAATAAAGCAGTTTTAGTGTATAGATCATTCCCCTGCAATTTCACTGCTCAATTCACTGTCATTTAGGAGTTAAATCACTTTGTTTCTGTTTATGCAGCCCTAGCCACACCTCCCCTGGCTATGATTGACAGAGCCTGCATGGAAAAAACTGGTTTCACTTTCAAACAGATGTAATTTACCTTAAATAATTGTATCTCAATCTCTAAATTGAACTTTAATCACATACAGGAGGCTCTTGCAGGGTCTAGCAAGCTATTAACATAGCAGGGGATAAGAAAATCTTAATTAAACAGAACTTGCAATAAAGAAAGCCTAAATAGGGCTCTCTTTACAGGAAGTGTTTATGGAAGGCTGTGCAAGTCACATGCAGGGAGGTGTGACTAGGGTTCATAAACAAATGGATTTAACTCCTAAATGGCAGAGGATTGAGCAGTGAGGCTGCAGGGGCATGTTCTATACACCAAAACTGCTTCATTAAGCTAAAGTTGTTCAGGTGACTATAGTGTCCTTTTAATAATGGTCTGGACAGGTAACCGTGTGTTGGAATAAGGAAAAAATGTCTACCAATGCTGTGAAGAGTAATACCTCTATGCATATTTATTGGATATACAGGTTATTTGAAGCCAGAATGTGTTAGAATGCTGGATGAAATTGATTATCCCTTTTATATGAGATGGAATATTTATATTTGGATTTTCTTTTGTTAGAAGGGGGTGATTATGGTTTCAACAGATCTGCCTTGACTAAAGGGTTACCGCAAGCAACATGACCATAGTGACTTGAAGTGGTCATGGTGCCTGGAGGCTGCATATGTAGTGTTTTTGTAAAAATAAACTTTGCTGCCGGAGGTGTATGTCTACTTCTAGTATTGTCATTAGGCAACCCGGAACAAGAATTCTGGGCTGGCACAAGTTTAATCTGTGCATATTTTACGTCCATCGCTCGCACAGCATGCTGGTGACAGATGACTAATTGCGGCATAACTCTACCTTGAAACCCTGCCAGTAATAAGCTAATAATGAGACTTCCCAGCTCTCATGAGTTGACTCAATGCGTTGGAATGTTACTCATGATGTGAAGGGATTGTTTCCTAGAGCCAAACATTAGCCTTGCAAGTCCAAACAGTGTCATTGTCTGTGCTGATCGGTATTGTGCACAGCCGTGCAATCCAAGCACCAGATAGCAAGGGGACAAATTGCTTTTTGGTTCTACATGAACGCGTATTCAGGGAGCAGTACCTGCAAGCCTCTCCATGTCTTGTAAACATTCTGAGGGTGGCTCTTTACTTGTAGGTAAAACTTTGAGCTCTGCTTTAGTATCTTGGTACCATAAGCAGGTTAAATATGCATTGTGAAGTGTAGTTTGCAGGAGAATCCCATTACTGACAAATATTATGGTTCCTCGTCTCACAATCTGCCAGAGAAGTACCAGTTCATGCTGCCACCTTGTGGCGTGCATATACAATTACATCCTCACTACATGTTTTTTGTTTATTTTTTTTAAAGGAACACTCAACTACAATTATTTATATAGCGTCAAAATATTCTGCAGTGCTGCATAATAGGTAAATGTTACAAATTGTGTATGATGTACGGAAACAGTAGATGAAGATGGCCCTGCCTAAATGAGCTTACAATAAATAAAATCTATAATGCTGGGGTTTTGGGAACTCTTCCAAATATATTGTTAAAGGAACACTATAGAGTCAGGAAGACAAACGTACCATCTAGCCCCTGAGACCCCCTTGCCTCCCTAAATATAGTAAAATCTAACTTCTATTCAAGTCTGAAGCTGCTGGCACTGCCCCTGACCTGTCTGCTGACTTCATCAGAAATGGTGGTCTGAACCAATCCCAATGCTTCCCCATAGGATTGGCTGAGACTGTCAAGGTGGCATATCAGAGCCAGAACCAGCACAAGTCAAACACAGCCCTGGCCAATCAGCATCTCTTCATAGATTTCCATTAAATCAATACATCTCTATGAGGAAAGTTCAGTGTCTGCATGCAGAGGGTGGAGACGCGGAATGGCAGTGCTACTTACTCTTCAGGACTGCCCCAGGAAGCACCTCTAGCAGCCATCTGACGAGTGGTCAGTGGAGTTATCACTAGGCTGTAATGTAAACACTACATTTTCTCTGAAAAGTCAGTGTTTACAGCAAAAAGCCTGAAGGTAATGATTCGACTCACCAGAACAAATACAATAAGCTATAGTTTTTCTGGTGACTATAGTGTCCCTTTAATTACCTTTTAATCTAGTGATAAGATGATTGGAGACCATATTATGCAATTAGTTGAAGCCATCTGCAAGTTTGTGAATACAAAATAATTGCTGCAAACTTCACTTTGCAATGCTGCTGCTTCAGATGCTGCTCCTGCTGTAATCCATATTTGGTTTCAAATGAGAACTTTAAAAAAGGCCGTCATATTTAACCTTTCTTCATCCTGTTCTTTTTAACAAGGTTCCTCGGGTTTTTATTAATGGATCCTGTATTGGAGGTGGAACGGAAACTCGGAAGCTTAAAGAAGAAGGAAAGTTAATAGAACTTGTGCAGCAGTGTGGAATCAGCGCAGCAGGAAGCTGATCGCTCTGTGCAATCCGACTGTTCATGGTCTACCTCACAGTGTTTAAGAAGACCTACAATGAAATGGCAACGTTGTTTATTTTATTTTTAATTTTAATCTTGTGCTATAACTTCAAGGGTATTGGTATAATTTTGAGCATTGATAGATATTTAATAAATGTCCTTTTTAAAATGCAGCTCTCAAGAAAGTAACATCGCTCTGCATTCCTTATTATTGGGATCATTTAGAAGATTGGCAGTTTTAATGGCAAATATGGGGTTATTGGGTACATACATGGTGAATAAGGTACACTATAATCCAGGTTACATCTCTAGCGTTTGAGGTCTGTGTTAATTAGGGCATACACCTGTACTAGATGCTGTGGACTATTACTCTCATCATTCTTAGTCAGGCTAAGCAGTAGGAGTTGGTCTATAGCATCTTCCGTGTCCATCAGGGTTGGTGCGCTACGCTGTATTACAGCTTCAGGATAAAGGTTAAAACATATAATGCACTTTTTCAGCCAGTACACTAAAGGGTTACTCCAGCCACCATGACCACTTCTGCTTTTTGAAGCTGTCATTGTGGTAGGAGGCTGTATGTGCAGCTTTTCTGCTGGACATGTAGAGATATTGTAATATGCAGTGTTGTATTCTCGACACTTGACTTAGACAGCCCGGAAATATATATATTTTAAGTGCCCAGTTTGACAACTTAGCTGGGGTCAGTTGCCGCCTCCTCTGCAGCAATAAACCAACCGTGGCGGTGCAAGGAATAAGCACACTTCCTGAAATCTCTTAGCTGACACTTGGCAAATGAGCTAGCCCTACACTGCTGGACATAGCTATGTGTAGGGGATGACCGAAGCCTGTTGGAACCCAGGTAAGTTGTCAGACCATTTGCAAACTGTTTGACTACGTAAGATGGAAAGGTGTTAGGGCACTCCTGGCACCATAACCATTACAATGTTTAGTAGTGGTTATGGTGTTTGTAGTGTTCAACTAATTGTAAACACAGTTACTTGGAAATACATTTACAAATATATATATCTCTCAAAACATAAAATAATTTTGGTGCATACAGTTTTTGAATATGCGGTATATAAAACCTGTGGTGTATTTACATAACTAAAAACTGTGTGGGATCGTTAAGGGATTGACAAATTTTAGGTTATAATAAAACACAAATGTATAGTAACTTTTTTTTAAAGTCATTTTAAGTACCATTTATTCCTGTATACAGTAGTGCCTCATTTATAGATGCTTGTTTGCTTTTTAAACAATGTATTTACTTTGATATTCCTTGGATATAACACACCTCTATACCTTTATTGATAATGTTACAGGAATCCCGAATATAAAGTAACACTAATGACTTTGCCAGGAGTGTAATTCACCAATATCTGTACAACTATTAAACCTCAAACTAAAGACTGCTATGGTGTTTGGCTGTGGAAGACGTACATGTTTCCTGTTTGGGCCAGTGTGTATGTGCCTTTCCATTTTTGATTGTTTTGCTGCAGTACCATTTGACCTGTATTCCTTGGTATTGAGTCATTACTGGTACTGTGTTAAATGTTCATTACATACTCTCCTTATAATTCTTTTAAGTGGTTTCAATAAAAAAAATTGGTTTGTCTTTTTATTCTTTTGTATTGTTTTTTTTTTTTGTATCATAATGGATTGTACATGTTCCATATTGGTACTGTTGAGAGCAATATACACTTCATAAATCAATTTTTGAAGACTACTACAGATTCCTGAAGTGTGATTTCAAGATTAATTTTAAAATTTGGTACCACAAAATGAGAAATGGAAGAACATTTTCCAAGCCCACAGTATTTTCATTTGAAATTCACTTTGCGTGTGTGTGCGCGCGAATGTGCACATGCTAGCCTTGGTTGATACATTTAGGAGTTAGGGGTATAAATTAATTTTACTCTATGGTATGTAATGCACTGTGCGTTTGCTATGAGATTTTATGTATAGATACTTCAGAATTAAAGCTAAATAATGAAATCTAGGCGATCCAGACTGACACTAAATTGAAGGGAAAGTGTTGGCATTATGTAGGTGTTACCTCATGACATGGCTTGTCCACTGGTTGTCCAAATCATGATTTATTTATCCAAAAGCACAGAGGATGGGTGAGTAGGCAGATGTTATTAACATTCATAAGCCACACACTAATAAGTACGGACTGTGAATCTCATCATTCTCAGGTGAATGCCTGACTGTCATGGGTTTTACAATCTATTCTAGTTTAAATTTGTTTTGAAACTTTGGTCAGCATTTTGCACCTGTCTAATGCTAAACATGTGTGAATAAAATTAGAGAGTTGTGACAATAGAATTGGGGAAATAATGGGGAATGTGTGACATTAGAGGCGAGAGAGTGAAGGGAATATATAATGACTGGAGAAAAGAGCAGTGCTATTGTGACGCGTGTTACAAACCCCTGCCAGCCCACTGGGAATTGTCTGGAACGAAGGAGATATTTTATTTTCAGGGATGCCTATTTTTCCAGTTAAATGTTTATTGAGAAGTTTCATGTTAAATAATATGGGGGTACAGAGAAAACACAAATAAGGGGTGGGGAGGGTACCTGGGGTACAAAATATAAAGTCCATTCCAGTTTAGATTCCATCATGTTACACAGTGTCATTGGTACCGTGAATACAGATTTATCACCCAACACAACTGCCATGTAGTCACCAGTTGTGCTAAGGGGAGATCAGGATCACTCCTCCCTGTGTTGTCCTGTTGTTGGACAAGTGGTGAGTTGGAGTGCCCAAATACTTATGTGATACCTTAATTTAGCATAGTGCATAGGTAACAATTCATACTGGTAATTCAGGTAAGTGTATCCCTTTAAATCCAGAAATTGTGGTGTTCTGATTTTCAATGGGTTGCTATAGGGCTCCTTGTTGCCAGGGGTATTTGAATAACGAGGGCTCTGGTGTGTTTTCAAGTCTGCTTTTAAGATGAAAAATGCAAAACCCCTACTCAACTCCTGAAATTAACAGTAAATGTGTTAGGAGCTGAAGCCCTCAAATACTCAAGGAAATGCATTTCACATCTTGTCCATCAACATGAAAAATATTTATGCAGAACAGGGTGGTGTATGTTACAATACTAGTATCAGTGTCTGCAAGTAAACACACAACAGATACGAATGAGTCCCCTTCATGTATGGGTTATATTGCTAGGATTATCTGGGTACTGTGCCTTGGTTTTATGTCAAACTGATTATGAGCAGTTTGATAACTGGGGGCTAAACAGAGAAGGGTCAACCCTTGGCTGCATTGATACTGCAGAATTAACATGTACTGTAAAAAAAAAAAAAAGTCGATCAGCCCACGAAGCGACTAAACACAGCAACCCTCCAGAAAAAACTCACCATCACCTGCCCCACGAGCATGGCACAGCAGAAGGGTAAGAAAATCCCTGAACGGGCCGATAAATCAGGCTTCTTCACAGTGCGATCCGCGCCGAACAGAGCACAAGGCCAACATGAGGCTGACCAAGATGGCGGCGGAGACGATACCCTCCCCCTCCAACACTCACCAGACCCAGGGAATCTCCCTGTCACACGAGAGATCCTGAGAGCATACCTGGACGAAATGTCCGACAAACTGCTAAATAATATCCAAGCATCGGTCACTGCACTCAGCAAAGACATCCAGGAACTGGGTGAAAGAACAGCCCACGTGGAGCACCGCATGGGCGAATACGCAGAAGCCCACAATGACCTGGCGGACCACGTTCAAGCCCTGGAAAAGCAACTCACCTCAGCCGAGCTCAAGCACTACGATCTTGAAGACAGATCACTGCGGCAAAACTTAAGAGTACGGGGAATACCAGAATCGATAATGCAAGCTGACATACCTGAATTCCTGACCGGGTTCTTCAAAAGCCTTATACCAGACATGCCGACGGAAATGATCCTTCTGGATCGGGCTCACCGCGTAGCCAAACCAAAGTTCCTACCCGCAGATGCAGCAAGGGACACGCTGACTCACCTACATTATTACCACGTCAAAGAGGCCATACTTAAAGCTGCCAGGAACCACACAAACCTTCCAACAAAGTATGGCCAGCTACAGATATATGCAGACCTATCAGCAGCCACCCTACAACGGCGATGAGACTTCAAGGAGATAACTGAAACTCTGCGGGAACACAAGATCCCCTATAGATGGGGGCACCCGGTACGCCTGATTATCCAGCGTAATGGAACCTTCACCCATGCGACCACACCAGAGGAAGGGTTGAAGGCCCTGAAGCAATGGGACTTACCGGTCCGCAAACAATCTGGGTGTACAACTTCAACGCAGCGATTAAGACGACTGGAAGAAGGCGAAAAAATAACCCAATCTTCACCAGCCTATATCCAGACATGGGTGTTACAGATTCAGGGCTGAGAGGCGATGCTTCCTGATTGCAGACTTATCTATCTGGTATCATTACACAACCCCCCACACCCTACAGCGCATCACCCACACAACTCACACTCATAATTGCACTCACAGATAAAAAAAAAAAACACGCACAGATGCACTCAGACAAGCTAAGCGAATGGACAGTTGCTCACATGCAAGACATCCACCACACACTCCTTTTAACACCAGATAAACTTTAATAATGACCATGTCACTGGAGGCCACCCATCCCCAAGTTACCCATGGGAGGATTGGTGATATACTGTTTAACTGGTCTCACAGGCACAACATCTCTCTGTGGCCATGATATACGTTTGAAACGTTTATGGGACAAAAATAAATATATATATATATATATAACATATGCAGAACTGTTTAGAAGAGTTTTAGGGCTAATCGTCTACGATATTGGTTTATGTTTTTGATGTTGCCTACCTCCATAGTGCCCATTCAGGGTACTCAGCCCAATTTGGGCTCTGCGGTCCTAACCGCACTGTTTCTTCTTCTTTTCTCTTTTATTAATTTTCTACCTTCCCTCCCTCACCCAGACCAACCTAGACTCTCTGAGGGGATGACCCCACGTAAACTTCGAGCTCCAGTGCCGGTACAGAAGTCTCAAGGAACGACTCGGCCCGCCACGGATACATGCCACGCGGAATCTCCACAACTGCTACACAGAATAACAGCAAGTATATACCTCACTGCACCATTACTTACATGCATTACACTAGACTCAACCTCCGAGCCATACAAGGACACTCAGGGGAAACACGAACCTAACGCTACTAGCGACATAAATTCCCTTTCTGAAAATATATAGCCACAATGTACGGGGGCTGAACACCCCTATTAAGCGTCACCTGCTACAGACCTTCAAAAATCCCAACCAGACATAGTGTGTCTCCAGGAGACACACTTCACCAAACCACACAACCTTAAACCCCTCGCATACCCATATCAACAACACGCTACAGCAAAATCCAAAACGAAAGGGGTCTCTGTGTTAATCAGCAACCAAGTAGCATTTATAGAACATGACCTAGTCATAGATGAGGAAGGCCGATATATCATACTGATCTGCACCATCAATGACATTACCTACACAATAGTAAATGTATACGCACCCAACTCAGAATAACGCAACTTCCTACATAGAACACTAGCTAAAATAGCGCCTATTCAGAAGTGAATGTTGATAATCTGTGGAGATTTTAACCACACTCTAGACCCTGGCTTAGACTCAACCAAAGGATCAAAAACACAGGGAAACAACCCAGCCAGGAGACAATGCACAACGTACCAGAAACTGCTAGACGAACATAACTTCTATGATGCGTGGAGAGTCCTCCACCCTGAGGAGAGGGACTTCACGTTCTTCTTCTCGGTTCTCCTACACTCGAATCAACAGGTTCCTCACTGAAGGAAAACACTTAACGCAGGTACTCAAATGCTCAATAGAGACTATCACATGGTCAGACCATGCACCCATCACTATGGAACTAAAAGACAAATTTGAGAGCCACAATAGAAGCCCTTGGCATCTGAACGAAACACTATTACACGACAAAACGTTTACCGACCACATAGAAAACACGCTTAAAAACTATTTTAAAGAAAACACCACACCAGGGATCTCGGCGGAGACTACCTGGCTAGCCCACAAACTGATAAAAAGAGGCCACTACCTTAAACGGACGTCCCATACCCAAAGGGTCACCTGGTACAAACAACTACATGATCTCAATAAACTAAACCAAACAAACCCATCCCCAGAGCTAAGAAACCGAATCTCAGAAACACAGGATAAAATACAGGCTTTAGCACTTACCAGGTAGGCTACTCACTACGGAAATTAAAAGCCACTAACTACTCCCAAGGAAACAGAGCGAGCAAAATCCTAGCCCAAAGACTTCGAGACAGGCAGGCCACATTCAAAATAGCGCACATTCATACACCAAATGGAAACAGACTAGTAGCCCCGAAAGATATAAGCGATGAATTCGCCACGTACCACGAAACCTTATACAACCTTAAAAATGACCCACTAACACCCTCAACATCCTCCACACAAATCGATGAATACTTACAGGATGCCCAATTGCCAACCCTCTCACAACAGCATAGAGAAGCCCTCTCAGCCCCTATCACCCAAAAAGAAGTAAGGGACACAATAAAAACCCTCCCGGCAGGCAAAGCCCCGGGTCCTGACGGATTCGTGAACACATATTACCATAAATACGCAGACGTCCTATCCACTGCATTGACTACTCTATTCATATCGCTATAGATAACCACTCATTACCCACAGAACTCTTACGGGCTCATATTACCACCCTCCCTAAACCTGGGAAATCTCCAACCACATGCCCAAATTTCCATCTGATTTCCCTACTCAATACAGATTCCAAGCTCTTTGCAAAACTGCAAGCCAACAGACTTAAAACTATCCTACCGGACCTCCTACATGATGACCAAGTAGGGTTCGTGAGGGGTAGACAGGGCTCAGATAATACCCGCAAAGTACTAAATCTCATGCATAGCTCTAGAAAACTAGGAATTGAGTTTCTCTTCGTATCCCTTGACGCGGAGAAGGCCTTTGATAGACTAAATTGGACTTTTTTAAACAGAGTACTCCACAGATTCGGCTTTCCCAAGCAATTCATTGCAGCAGTAGACGCCCTATACAACACGCCCTCTGCACAAGTCCTATATGCAGGATTCCCATCACGGACAATAAACATTACTAATGTCTCTAGACAGGGATGCCCTCTCTCTCCTCTGCTCTACGTACTGGCCCTAGAGCCACTGGCATCCAAAATTAGATCAGACCCGAACATCCATGGTATTCCCCTAGGCGATAAAGAATTCAAACTAAACATATTTGCAGATGACATTCTTCTCACTTTAACACAACCGCTCATAACCATGCCCAATTTAATGCAACAAATAGATCTCTTTGGCCACCACTCTTACTATAAATTAAATGTCTCCAAAACACAGGCACTAACGATAGGAGTGACAAAAGAGGCAAGAAACAGATTACAAGAGGCCTTCCCTCAAGATTGGAGGTCAGACTACTTAACATACCTAGGAATCAAACTCACAAAAAAACCTGCAGAACTCTTCCACGCAAACTATGTAAGACTCCTAAAAGACTTCGACAACACCCTGAAATCATGGGAGGGAAAATTCCTCTCATGGCTGGGGCACATAGCGGCATTCATATTACCACCCTCCCTAAACCTGGGAAATCTCCAACCACATGCCCAAATTTCCATCTGATCTCCCTACTCAATACAGATTCCAAGCTCTTTGCAAAACTGCAAGCCAACAGACTTAAAACTATCCTACCGGACCTCCTACATGATGACCAAGTAGGGTTCGTGAGGGGTAGACAGGGCTCAGATAATACCCGCAAAGTACTAAATCTCATGCATAGCTCTAGAAAACTAGGAATTGAGTTTCTCTTCGTATCCCTTGACGCGGAGAAGGCCTTTGATACACTAAATTGGACTTTTTTAAACAGAGTACTCCACAGATTCGGCTTTCCCAAGCAATTCATTGCAGCAGTAGACGCCCTATACAACACGCCCTCTGCACAAGTCCTATATGCAGGATTCCCATCACGGACAATAAACATTACTAATGTCTCTAAACTATTGTACCTCTTCAGGACACTACAAATACCTCTACCAAACACTTACCTCAAGTCGGTCACCTCACTACTCATGAAATTCACATGGCAACACAAAAAAAGCCGGGTAGCCGCCAAAATCCTGCATAGGCCGGTAGCAGACGGAGGTCTGGGTATCCCAAACCTGTATCTATACCACAAAGCAGCATTATTAAGCACTATGCTAGCAGCACACGACTCCCATTATATCCCACAAAAGGCAGAAATAGAACCCTTTTGGCTTAACATGGACCACATCCGCCCAATCTTTTGGATTGACAATACTCGGAGACCAAAACCATTCCATGGCCTCCTCACTACTCGCTTGCTCATAGACACATGGGACGGGGTTAGGAAAACTTTGGTTACCCACCCAAGGATTCCGATGGCAGCTCCACTGCAATCAATAAGTTTGATAATCCCCACCTTTAATTATAAGCCGTGGACTGACAAAGGTGTCACCCATGTACTCCATCTATACCAAGGGGAACACCTCAAAACCTTTACATGCCTACAGGAACAATTTGATTTGCCCACAAAATTACTATTCCCTTACCTCCAAGTCAAATCCTTACTAACAAACAACCCACCCACAAACCCCGAGAAAGGGTCAAACGCACCGACCTCAAAGTTTGAAAATATTTGCCTATCAAATAAGCCCAACATAAAATCTCTCTCCACATGCTATCACTTGATCCTACACAACCAACCATTGACACTTGAGTACTACAAAAAGGCATGGCATACAGATCTGGGCCCGGAGTTAAGCCCAGAACAGTGGAAAAGAGCTTACACAGCACACAAAGGCATGACATCATGCGCCCAACACTTAGAAATGTAATGGAAAATACTATACTGTTGGTACTTAGTACCGGAAAAAATACACAAAATTTGGCCTGTCTCCACGAACGTGTGTTGGCGTTGCGAGAAGGATGTGGGCACGATGATTCACATATGGTGGACGTGTCCTGCACTAGCTCCTCTCTGGACACAAGCCCTCCGTATCATGTTGGACATGCTCTGCCACCAGGTGGAAAAAAATCCTGTACTGTGCATGTTGTACATATTCCCCGAGAGGATGTCCAAAACTCACCAGGCACTAATATACCATATGCTTGCATCAGTACATATCCTAATATCGAGACACTGGAAGTCTAAAGAAATACCGTCACATACACACCTAGTGAACCAAATTGCACTTAATTGGACATATGAAGCCATGCACCAACACCAATTTGGCCCAAGACCTACAATAGCGAAGGCAAAACATATATGGGACACATATACAACAACCACACTGACAACCTCA